TACCAGTACTGTTTATATCGCCAAGATTGACTATGTAGAGAGAAAATTTGATAATATATGAAACGTCACTACTTTATTGTTCAAGGTTATTGTGCGAATGATCGAAAGTCATAAAACATCGTTGAAATATTCTATGAGTGATTGTCGATTAAGAAAATTTAAAGCATTGGTCGAAATTTATTTAATTTTAATAAGTATCGTTAAAGAAATTATTATAATAAGCATCAATAATCGAAAGATCATAATAAAATTAATTTCTTTATCCCCTTTTATGTTCTCTTTTTCAATTTTTATTCGCAGTAATTAATGATTGCGATTCGATAAAGATTTATCGTTGATACATTTTTATGACGTTTATTGTAAGTTAATTTATTTTTAATATATTTGTCATCGAAATATTTTATGTACTTTAACATATATATATATATAATAAGCAATATAGCTATTTTGAAAATAATACATATATAAATAATAATAATAAATAAATAATTTTTATAAATCACTCACCGCATATCTCTCTGACTGCTTTAGGCTCTTCCACTGCTCTCTGAGTGTCCGATACTTTTCCAGATGTTCTTCTTTTTTTTTCTTCATCCTTTGCTGTGTCCTCATAGCACTCATATTCATTCGCGAACAAACAATTAATTATATTTAGTCATATACTATAGAAACGATCGCGAGACTTTTGCACGGCACTTCCGATTACGGAATAATTACGAGAAACGCACATTAATATATCGTATAAGGGATAAAGAAGTACGATTCGCTCTACAATAGTCGTAGCGAATTATATTTTAATACTAATCGCGATCGCGTTTAGGAAAATAATTCAATAATACGAAGCGTTTTGTATCATTACTTTGCCGTTGGAATGCCGTGTGAATAATACAAGTTCGTCTATATATTTATAATTTTTGCTTCTTTTGTTTCAATTTTTATTTGGAATAATGAAGGATCGCGTTTCGATGGATGTATCATCGCCATATAATTTTATGTTATTTATTAAAAGTTAATTAATTGTTAATTGTAATAGTCGTAGTGAATTATATTTCGATATTAATCGCGATCGCACTGTTAGAAAAAGAATTCAATAATACAAAGTGTTCCGTATCACTACTTTACTACTGGAATGTCGCCGTGCGAATGATACAAGATCTTCGCCTATGAAAACAATACAGCGCTACGTCATCAAGGCCGAACGTGTTATTGACCTCGCTGCCGAAATATTTTACGCGTACTGTGACGTACAATACAAAAATTGAATTTATATATAAGTATATTTTTAATGTCTCACACACACATGTATACATAGATTAATTATTTATTAAACGATTAATATACATCACAAGCTTTTCCATTACGATAATTATTCGATTTTGTTATTCTTTCGTTTTACTGCGCATTCTCAGACGAATTATATATTTAAATCATCACATAATTATATGATAAAGCATCGGACGAAATATTCTATAAATATTAAAAGAAGAATAATTATTGTTCTTAAGGATTGCAACAAAATAATAATTTATAATTTTGATTCCGGTCACACATATCGATTCTTAATTGCATTCGATTCTTTTTAATTAAATGAACGCATTACGCGAAATACGTGTTTCGAAATTATATTCTAATTATATTCCAATCGTATAATCGAGTATTTCGAATAATGGAAAGAGCAATGGTCAAATCAATTATTTATTAATAATGAAATTGTAACTTACAAATGTATTCCGTTTATTCCATACGTTAACATCGCGGCAACAATGAATAAACTTTTAAAATAAATAATTAGTATATCAAAACAGTTTACCAATTTAATTACTGATATAAAAATCGATCAATTGACCAGTTGGTGAAACTGTTTCAATATACTTTATATTTATTCAAATATAAAGTTATTTTCTTAAAAGAATTGTTATACGACGAATTGTTATATTATGTTTACGCGCGTCACGCGTTCAAATTCAATTTTGACTTCTCCCGGGAAGATTCGAATCGTTCGTCGAGAATCGATCCTTCAAAACGCGATTGTTCTGTATAATTTTTCAAATTAGTGATTATTAATTTGTACAATTTTTATTTACACAGCGAATGGCGCGTTTTTGATTTTGATTTTAATTAATGTCGAGTGAGTCATAACTTTTTGAGATATATTGCATTACTATCATGTAGTAAAATGACAAAAGGCATGGTATAACGTCGCGAGTGTTGTACATACAAAGCGTAAATTGCTGTATGATTGTATGCTGATTAGTACGTAATTACGTTTTTTGAATATCAAGTGAATATCATAAAGCAGAAAGAAATAAACGAGAGAAACGACAAAAATAACTCATTAAACACATCGTGCGATGGCGAAATAATCGTGAGTTTATTATTTATTTTATTGTATTATATGTATTATTTGTTGAATTAATTATTTGCTTTTATGTTTAATAATAATTTATTTCACCAATGTGAAATATTGAAATATTTTATATGTATATATATTAATATTATAAATATATTCTATATATATATATATATATATATATATATATATATATACATAATATACATAATATACATAAATATAAATATATATATATATATATATATATATAAACTTTACATTATATAAAATATTAAATGATATTAATATACATAAATATAAATAAATATATTCAGAGTTCCAAAACTGAAGGTCCATATTTTAAGGGCGTGTTGCTGATGCCATTTAGAGAAAAAAAGTTTAGTATACATATGTCTGCAAATGCTTCCTAACAGAAATACAAATATTAAAAGTTGAATATTAAAAAAAAGACATTTAGAAAAGAAAAGAAAGACATTTAATTTAATTTGTTCATTTACAAATTCTGTTCAAAATGACATCCTGCAGATTCAATACAAAGTCTTGCCCTGTAAAAGTGATCTAACAGCTTGCTCCACCATTCCAGGAGAATTTCTGATTTATGTTGCCGCATCCATAATAATTCTAATATTCCGCATTCTAATAAATTCATCCCTGTTGTGAGATTGAAAATATAAACAATACCAGGCTGATAAAAATATAAACAATACTAACAGACTAATAGAAAATGTTTCACATATTCATATTAACTTTCAATGCTTGTATTTCTGTTAGGAAACTTTTGCGGACAATATATTTATTAGACTTTTTTTACTCTAAAACTCTAAATGACACGCCCTTAAAGTATAAACTTTCAGACACCTTCACCCTGTATATAATATAGTCTGAATATAAATGATAAATATAAATGATAAATAATTTATAAATTACTTACCGCATAATGTTGCTCCGTGCTTTTTCAGACTTGCTTTTCTCTTCCTTTGTTATTTCTTCCTTGCACTCACATTCACTTTCGAAAACAAGATTAATCAAGATTAGTTAATTAAAATTAGTATACGCAATGATTGTGAGACACTTTGCACGGCACTCCCGATCGCGTAATAATTACAAATTAAAAGTTTAGAAAGTATTAATTATAATTATCACAGCGAATTATATTTCACTACTAGTTGCGATTGCGTTTTATTGTTAGAGAGAAAATTTGATAATATACAAAGTATTTCGCACCTTACTTCTCGAAAGCTGCCGTACAAATGGTATCAAGGCCGTATATGTAAACACAGCGCGTCATACGCCGCCAAGGCCAAACGTGTTATTGTCCATTCATTTCCGAAATATTTTATGTACTTTAACATATACATGGAATATTAAAGTGTCTAGGAGTGTTTTAAATTATATAAATTAATTAAATAATATTTGTTAAAAAGGATTGATGTATCATGTATGAAGCTTTTCATTATGTTAATTACTTTAATTTATGATTCGATTGTTTTGCTATGCGTTTTGAATCTAAATTATATTCAAATAATTGAAAAATAGAACGAGAGAAAGCTTCGCGGTCGAATTATATTTTATTATTATATTATTGATTCTATAAATATTATTAAAGTAATAATGTCTGCTTGTAAAAATTGATTTCACATCGAAACTATAATTTATTATTTTAGATTTGTTTCTACGATTCTTACGTGATTAAATGAATAAATTAATAATTATTAAGAAAAGTGCCCATTACGTAAGAAGAATAAATAAATAAATGAAATAAATTATTGAAATAAATTATTGAATAAATAAAATAAATAACTGTAGATAGACCCGAGATAACATGACATAAATAAATGAAACTAATGAAATTATCAATAAGTGATTTATATTCCTGCGTATTTATATCTTTATTTTTATATATATATATATATATTATTTATATTATTTATATTATTTATATTATTTATATTATCAGAGAGAAGACTGAGAAGTATCATGGCCCGATTTTAGGTGATTTCTGAAAGCGACCTATCTCTTTTGTGGACATTAAAAGAAGGGTAGTATATATGTTACCCTCTAAGAACATTCGTGGACATTGGCTTTGTAGTTCATGTCCATGTTTTTAATGTCCACAGAGGGCACATCGCTTTCAGGGATCACCTAAAAGCGGGCCATGACACCTTTCAGTCTTCTCTCTGTCACATGTAATCAAATTTAGGCGCCCTTTTTGATTGGGTTAATATCGTTGAGTATACATCGATAACATATATTTTAAATTAAATCAATAGAAATGTGTTATTGATTAAAACAATAACAAAATTTCACAAAAGAGAGAGAGGGAGAAATCAATGAATATTTTTATGAAAACATTTATACTTTGCTTTTTCGTCCTATAATTCATTGATTACGATAAAATAATTTCATTGAAAAATCAATATAAACTGATACTTTTTAATAAGATTTCGTTTCTTCACACTTATAATTACTTATAATTAAAACCATGGTGGTTATTACTCTATTTAAAAAATAAAGCTAGGCTTGTTTCTAGAATCTATTATAAAAATTATCATAATATATTATTTTATCACACTATTTATTCTGCAGATGAAATGAAAGTCGCTACGAAATTAAAGATTGAAAGAAAATATATTTGTAATTACACATAATTCCATGGAATTCAAATTCCTCGAAATACAAAAGAAACTTGTGGAACGGCTTTTCGCTGCAATAATAATAATTTTTATTTTTTACACATATATACACTTCATATACACACACATGATTCCGCACGCATACAAGGTACAAGAAGCACAGACAGAATTATGTACACATCACAGAATTCCATGCAGCATCCCTCAGGCGGGCTACTGCTGGTGTATCCTATTATGGTTCGAATTTCTATAGGGATCTTCGACAACGACGGAATTGCAGATCAGATCGTAGCCGGTTCTGTTAAATCTGAAGAAGAACAACGAGAAGCAGATCGGGAATAGAAATGCCAGCACAAAATTTTTCACCACCGATCGACCCAGGGCTAATGGCAGACCCAGATCGGTCCCGGGACTCACCAGGACCACGTCCGGCTCGTTCGGACGTTCTACGGGAGTTATATTTCGACACTGAACCACCCGCAAGCCCATCATGTACTTGCCAGGTGTAGCACCTCCGATGAAACCGTAAACACCATGTTGAAGCCAAAAGGCCTGAAAGAAATTCACAATTAATAACTATAAGGATAATTTTGAAAGTTGAATTGAAATCAAATTAAATTTTATTATTTAAAATTTAGTTTTTTATGGAGTAAATTATTTTTACAAAATACAGTTTAGTTATTTTTTCGCAAAATTTCGCAGAATTTTCCCCTTACCTCGAAGATGCAAACTATCACACGATGAATCACTTCCAAGATCAGAATCCCATAAGTCATTTCCAAAGCCATTTTGTAATCGATACGCAAATTTGTTTGCAATAAATCCAAGTCTTCGATGTCTCTGAAAAAATATAATCACTGTAAAAGATTGCAGTATATATTGTAAAGTGAAGAAAGTTATTATAAAGAACAAAATTATTATTATGTGAAGAAAATTATTATAAAGAAGAAAATTATTATTATTCTTTATAATCATTTATTATTAAGAAAAACAGAAAATTTTAACAAAAAAATCTCTTAATATTAAAAATCTCTCTTAATATTAAAAAATATTAAAATAAAATATGAAAAAGTAAAGAAGAAAATTACTGATTACATTGGAAAAAGACTTAATGATTTAGAAATATTTAATACAAATTTTAAAATGTTCAAGAAAGTAAAATTTATAGGCATTTCTTATATTGCTCATGTTTTTTTTGCTTACATAAAATCAAATACATCGATCGCGATGAAGGTGATGGAGAATTTCAAAAGAAATAGCATCGTTGAGTCTATAAATTCAGCAGCAAACCTCTTCCAAATCGGAGGAATGCGGTATTCGTAACCTAAAATATAAAGTGAATTTAAGAATATAAAATCGTTTCATGCGTGACATGTGTTTTATAATTCTTTAAACAGGATCGCAAGATTTTAACCTTCGACTCCAGGAGGTTGAAAAGGACCCGCAGGTTGTTCCTGAGGTCTTCTTTGCCTCACTCCTTCATTCTGTCTATCTGTGTTTCCGATTATTACTCCCGGTCTATTTGGTGGGGTTGGTACTTGATTTGCTTGAAAGGCTGTTGAAGCTGAAAAAAATTATGACTTATAAAATAAAATCTATAATTCTAACGATAAAATAACTTATTTTGACAAAATTTGAAATTTAACTATCAATAATAAGAATTATTATTGTATTTAGAGTAATAATTTATTATTACATATGTATATTAAAATAATATAAAGTTTCTTATTTTTATAATATATTAATAAAGTTTATCAGTATTTATTTTATATTATATTCTTTCAAATATAACAAATTTGTCAGAAATTTTAATTATAATTTTCTCATAAAATATTTTAGATTATATATAATATAAATTTAATTAAACTTTTTGCAGTAATTTATTACTGTACATATGTATATTGAAAGAGTATTAAAGTTCCTTATTTTTGAATATTTTTAAATATGAATATGAAATTTTATCTTTCATAAAACTGAACAGAATTATTTATTTTATGCATGTTTCTTGAAATGTTCAAAATTTATCAGAAATTTTTATTGATTTCCTTTTTATTAATTTTTTATTTTCATAATTTTTTGATAAAATATATTAGTTTATATAATATAAATTTAGTAAAGCTTCTTTTTCTTATCTTCCTACTTTTATATTATGTAAAATAAAATAAATTGAATAAAGATTTTTTTAAAAATTCTTTCAATATAAAAATATTCTTATTGATTTTCTTATTCTTCGACATATAATCTTTCGAAACGACTGGCGTTTATTCATACCGGGTGACGAATTCGCAATGTGCCCGGACATCACGTAATAAGGGAACATCGCCGCGACACTTTGCCAAGCGTATGCTTCCTGGACCCATGTCTCCAATTTTTTAAAATACCGCGATCTCTCCTCCGCCGGATCCAATTTGCCCTCCGAATCCTGCTCGGACGTTTTCTCATTTTTGTCGTCTGCCATTTTGGGTTCTCGCACTGCCTACGAAAGAAAACAAATCGGTTCGTCACTCGATGTTGAGGATCATAAATCAGCATCGCTGATTACTCCGAAATTTTCGCTCCTCTCGATCGGAGCACGTAAGATGGGAACGTAACAATTGACGGATAACGATTGTCGCGATCGTCGACCGAATCGTCGATTAATTTTTTTTTACCGCGATCAATCAACAAGCGTACGAGATACTGAAAGAGAATAAATAATGATGCGTTGATAACACTATTTGATGAAAAAAGAAAAAACAATGATGGCAAACACGCCTCTCGTTACCTCTGTCGCAATCAAGCACTACGCATCTACGGTCGTGTGTAAACTACGCGCCAACTATCACTACCCATCACTGACGTGTATAATAGCTAATGGTATAATCGTGATGCTTTTTGCCGTCGAGATAGTCCAACGAAATTCCGTCACGACAGCTGTCGGCTTTTCCCCCAGATTTCATCAGTCGTGGTGGGAGAGTCTAGGCTGATGCCCGAAACGCATTTCTGACTCGAATACGTTATTAAGGTAAGGTGGAATATTTTATTTTCTACGGAAGATTTTTTTTTAAAAGCGATTCGTCGAAATTTATATTTATTTAATTTATTAATAATTTTTTTTATTGCAAAGTCATAGAATATTTCTTTCAAAATTTAACTGTCAAATGAAAAATTCTTAATCATCACGTGTGTGTGTGAAATGTATCATCTGCTGATAAAAGACACGAGCAATGAATTGATGGAAAAATGGATATGTCTTTAAAAATATTTTAACAGAAAGAGATTTGAATTATTTTTTAAGATTTTCGTGAAGAGTAATTCATAATCTTGTTTTTATTATATTTTTATAATTTAAACGGAAAAAAGTATCGAACAGAAATATTCAAAACTGACCTCTGGTAGTAAAGACTGGTATCAGGAAGGCTGCGTGAAATTTGTCCGAATCGCTATTTCACTAGAGAACCACTAACATTTATAATAAATAGAATGTAAAGACCAAGCTATATTTTACCTTTTAAATTAATGTTGTATGCTATTTTTAATATAAGATATAAATTAGAAGTTATATTTTAACAGAAAAAATTATTAATCTAAATTTATCATTAAATCTTAATTTAATAGAGAGATGAATATAATTTATAATAAAAATTGATTTTTAATAAAAAATTGAATATAATTTATAATAATAATTAAATATATAAAAGGTAAGATGTATATCCAATAGTAAGAAGACTACAATTGAAATCACCAGCCTCAATTTTTTTTACTATTTCCTATAATTCCTATAATTTTCTACAATATTTGTTCCTATTGAAATTAGTTTCAAAAATAACTTGCCTCGTTGCAAGTGCGAGAAATCTAAAAAAAGGTATGCAAATAGGAAAAATTGCGCTAGTACAATACTAGTGACTTTTCCCTCTACCTAGCATCCTGGACAAGTTGAAATTACCTGTCCGGAACGAAAAAGACAGAAAGTAAGGGGTGAATTTTCCCTCGCTAATTTTCCGGAAAGCATCGGGAAAGCCCGTTGATTTGCTCGAGATCGCAAACAAGCCCGAAAACGGTCTCCGCTTAGAATCCAGGGGGGAAGTAGGAACTTTTCTTCGGAGCCGAGAGCCGCGAACGAGCCGCAGAAGGCGCTGGTTCGCGGTCGTGCCCGCAGCTCCGAATCAGTAACCACGGTGCGCGTTTCCGACCGATGAGCGGGCACATCGGGACCAGCGGGCATCCTCTTCGTACGCGAGACCCTCGGGGATAAATAAGACGGACGGGTGGTGCGGAGTGGCCGCCGAGGCATCGCGTGGCACGTGCGGGTGAGTCGCAGGGGTGGTCGGCGAGTGTCGCGTGGGAGCGTCGCGTCGTCGCGACGCGTCGCACCGGGACTACGGTGACAGCAGCCCCAGGAGGAGCGTCCGAGGGTGTGGGCCTGCGGAGGAGTCTAGGTAAGATAACGAGCCCTTCGTCGTTCGAACGAGAGAGTGTCCTCGGTGTCCGGGTGTCACCCTCATCGTCTCCTCGTTCCTTTTCCGGAGCGTCTTCCTGGGAGAGCTGCTCCATGGAAATTCCGCTGGTCCATCAATGTAACGTCCGAGAGAGAGATTGGCGAGAAAGGAAGAGCAGCGGCTCGTCCTTCCCGCTCCTCCCTTGAGTCATTCCAACGGAACGCCAGCCAGCCGGAATTCCGGGAATCCTGACGACTCCGAAAAGCCAAAGTGACCTGCGCTCGTAAACAGTCGTGCATTTTAATGAGACGATGGTCTCCTCTCTTCTTCTTAATTGTTTCTAATCTCCGGGAAATTTGGGATAATGTTGAACTTAGTTATTTATCCGTCCAATTTAATTTCGATTAAATTACAATCGGAAAACGCTCGGAAAATGGTCGGAAAATATGTTCAAAAGTTGACAAATATTTATAAATTCGGAATCTTCTCTCTCACTGCCTACATAAACTTAAACTACATAAAAACGTGTACGACTCAGGAACGTAGCGTTGTAGGATTTAACGTCTATCCAGACAAATTTACACGTGTAATCGTATAAAGAGCGGATACGGAGAGAAATGAACCAGCCGCGATTCTAAAATAAAGGATGCCATATTGTTCGGTTCCCGTACGCTTTATGCGGAAATAATTCCTCCGGATGTGTCTTTATTACGGAAATGTCCGAGCGTAGCGTTTGTTTATGGCATTAAACAGCGTATCTCGCACATCCGGTTTAGGACGAGCGAACTTTTCGAAGCGACATAAGGGAAACCTCGTGGACTTTCCCATTGAATCTTGCCTATCTAAGGACCGTCCTCGGATTTTTTCAGTGAATACAAATAGATATGTGTCGCGTATAAAAATTTAATAAAATAATATAGATAATTTTTAATTAGATAATTAAAAAAGTTTTATGTATTTAATGAAAATTTATTATTTTCGAATTTTTATTTTCTTTTAAGAAAGAGATACATGATATTTTTTTTTAATAATTATTTTCCTGCAATTCGCGTATAAACATTTAATGAAATAGATCAAATAATTTTTTAATTAGACGGTAAAAATTTTCATTATATATTTAATTAAAATATGTTCAAAAATCAAATCTTATCAAAATAAATGTTCAATTATCAAATTATCAAATTATGCTCTTTCTTTAAATTAAAAGATAAATTACGTTATATAATTTATCTTTTAATTATCCGGATAATTTAATATCATTTTAAAATGTCAATAGTCTGTAAAATTATTTTCAAATTGATAAACTACGAAATATAAAAATTTTATTTTCTCGCAAGACGAGAGAGAAACCCATTTGAAAGATTAAAAAGTTGGCGAAAAGTTCCTGCGGTTAAATTTTATTTACTCGCCGTCTCTTGAAAACGCGCGCGTGAGGGGAAAAAAAATTTCATCTCTGTCATCGCATAATAGCACAGTCCGATGATTATCATTAATTGTTATCGAAGACGCTCCTTCCACCTGTCTTCCACCGCATCTCCTCTTCTTTGCTTTTCACTATTATCTACGCGCGTGAATTACGTAAGAATAATTATCTTGATTAACAATAGCAGTTTACGTATCTTTTTATATAACACAGTTTACGTTAGATAACGAATTTCAATAGAAAAGTCCCGACGAACTGATTCAATTACGAGGACTCTTCAGGCATATCTCTCTCGCGAATTCCCTCTTTCTTATCTTACTTGATTCAAGTTTTATCGATACTTCTGTTTATTTACTCGCACTTTTAATTAACATTAATTCGCTCCTTTCATTTTTCAAAATTTACTCGTTGTACAAAATTTGTTACGAAAAATCGTCAAGCATTTTTTAATTCGCTCCTTTCATTTTTCAAAATTTACTCGTTGTACAAAATTTGTTGCAAAAAATCGTCAAGAATTTTATTGCATCGTTACGATGCAGATCGCCGCAATTCCCACGAAATATATAGCATTCGAGAGCAGGCTTTGTTTACACGGCGATGAATTTACGGCGTGCATTCACCCGAAAATGCTCATTTATAAAAGCCGTCGACACAGGCGCGATGCGGCGCGATTATCGTTATCGATGCGAGTTGATTCTCTCTTCCACGAGTCTCGCCCGATAACGCGATGGGGGGCGAGCGGAAAGAGGGAAAGGGGTGGCGAGAAGGGAGTTCGAGATGTATACGTTTAACCTGCTATCTCTCGGGCGAGACATCATCAATGTTGCATCCACAATCGCGTGCTTTCTGACCCGCCTATCGAAAATCGAACCGACAGGCCCGCCTCGACTATCGCTACCGCGATGTCTATCGATCGATATGGCACTATACGTGTGTACGTTCGCTTTTCACCGTCGCTTTTCCACGTGACGTTAATTGCATCCCGACGGAAAATGCACCGGAGATGCATCGACGCGTATTTTCCTCCGTTGTCGATCGACTCCGGTGGCCGCGATTCGAAAAATCGCCAGTGGACGCCTGTAAAAAGCGCGCTGACGTTGATAGATATCGTCGCGATAAGCTCGCCTCTTTTTCACTCGCAGGGAAAATTGCCAAGAGAATTGCTGCGTTGGATGTACTTTTGAGAATTTAATTCTTGGCTTCTCTCGTATATCTTCAGATGATTTCATTTTATTTTTCTTCTCTGTTCCTCGATAAGGAAATCAACGATAGATGATTAACGGGAAGTAAACATTATTACGTATCATTAAGTGTGATATGATTGAATATTCACATTTGATTGAATATTAAAAATTTAAATAAAGAATATTCTACAAAAAAAGCATATTTAATGTTATAAAATTACATATAATTTTCAATATTGCGCAAACTGCATCATTATTATACATCAGGTGTAAAATTATCATTGTATAAAAAATAATAAAAATGTTATATAAATCTTTATTATCGGCATAAATAAAGCAAAGTATCGTTGCCTTTCTAAATAAATTATTTTTTGTTTTTTAAATATTTCTTCATTAATTTTCCATATTTTTTCACTTTATCGAGAAAGTATTTCATTTTTTCTATTTTCTTTTTCTTCCTCTACGACAAAAAAATATTGTTTTATATTCCTAGAAAATTTATCAGTTTCATATTTCAATTTGTAAACTTCACATGTGTCCGAACTTGTGCGTCTATTTCTAATATTTTTGAATATAAAAACAGTTTAAAACAAAAAAAATTCTTTATACATAAAGAGAAAGAAGCATATTTAATATTGAAAATTACACAATTTTCATTAACATGAAAATTGCACTATCATTGCATGTAATCATCATTGTATAAACTCTTTTATAAAGCTTTACATCGTTGATGTCATCGGCATAAATAAAACAAAATATCACTGCCTTTTAAAGACACATTTTTCACATTTTTTCATTAATTTTTTTCCTATTTTTCCAATTTATCGAGAAAATATTATATTATATTTTTTTACTTTTTAATATTCTTTCCCTTTTATTTTCTATTTTTTTATCTCCCTCTACGAGAAAAATATCGTTTCATATTCCTAGAAAATTTATCAGTTTTATATCATTTCTATTTATTAATTTTTTCATATGTTTCTGCACGTTTGTGTGCTGCGTTTCTCATATTTTTTTCCCAGTCCATGATTATCTTGTATTTCTTCGATTAAATCCGAGTTCTCTCTCGTAGCGTATTTGCAGCTACGATAAGTGCATTCCTTACGTAGTGATCAAATATAAACATGAATCGCGCTTCTCTTTTTTTGCCGTTCATTATCACAGTCTATCGCGGCGTCCTTGATGTTATCGATGATCGATAGTCGGATTGCCAAAGACGGTGATTAAATGAGGCAATTAACGCGACTCTCGCACAATGCATAAACGTCCAGCCAATTGCCTATCGATTTAATCTCCTATTCAATAAAGACATTTATTATATTCAGCCATGAATGGAATGCAACAGTTCGCCGCGCCCTGAATTAAAGCTGGCTTACGTTGCTTCTTTACCGAGTTGCATCTTTAAATATAATTAATAATGTGTATTAATAACAATGTGATGACATATCAGATATTTATTACCTACCATGCAAAGAGAAATGAGAAAATTATTTAAAGTTGCGTCTGAAGCTACAGAAATTGTCTGTTTAATTTAAAATCACACAATTTTTAAGATTTTTTTGCAAGAAAGCAATGCATTTTTAAAATGGAGGACAGGTATGTATTTTTTTCCCGAGCAAACAGATACAATTTCGCATCCGATAATTAACTCAATGCTTCTCCAGAAACAATTTATACTCTCGCGGCATAATTTTTCCTGCCGTTAAATATCCCACGAGACGACTACAGGGTGGTCGAAGTGCACGCGGCGACCCTCGGATCGATATTCATATTCTGCGAAGTCGCGAAAGCCTTAACTTAATCCGGAATAGTTTAATCACACGAAATTACGCGCGCTAACCTCGTTAACCCGCGTCCTGATCCGTCAGTGTGGTTGCTCTTCGAAGCGAGGTACGAAAAAAAATTTTGTAGACCGTCAAAATAGAACAGACCTGATTATTTTAGACTCCGATTATTTTAATGACAGAGAGATATTTGAAATTTTCTTCAATTATCGGACCGTTGCGTTGCATAAAGTATCGGTTTTACATCAATGGATGTACTTCAACGTGCGATAATTATTGAATTTAATTATCGAATCGCGCGAGACGCATACAGAAAATACAGTGAATACACGGAAATTTAATCTTGCCGCTTGTACACGGTTTCTGACGAAGTTCTGTCAAGGATACACTTGACATGGTTGCAAAACCAGAAACTAAGGAAGAGCTTAATGCCTTACCTGTTGGCCTTGATGCGACATTCAATAGCTACCAATTATGTTCTTACATATACATTTAAATATAAGGAATACATTTATATTTAAAAATAAAGAATATAATATTTAGAGATAAAGAAATTATACTTTTAAAATTTTTTATACATATATCAACTTATTTATTTAATTATTCATTTAATATTATATAAAAATGTTATATAAATTTATATAAAAATTTATTTATATAGATAGTATATACAATATTATATAAAAATTAAAATTTATAATTTTCTATTATTCTATTAAAATTCTATTATTGGCACATTTTTAGAAATTAATTATTGGGAATCATCAAATATTAACTCTCATAATCAAATATTAAAAAATCCTAGCAAATTTTAATTCGCCCTTTTGAATATATATAACGTCAAAAATTACCACAGTTTCATCTACTATGCTAATTTGAGTGTGCAAGACTGATGACGTACTAAGAAATTAATTTATTTTCACGCGTAGATAATTTACATTTTGTCACCTTTGACGTCAATATGATTGCAATTAGGAGCCTCTTGAAAACAAGACACCTTATGATTACATTGAGGGCAATTTAAGGTCCTCTCTCTTTTTACAAAATGGCACGTTAAGAGACGGCTCGATATTTTATCTCTCGGCGATCTTTCGGGATGACAGGAGCCGCAAGGTGATACTTGGCTTATCATTTATCATGGACCTTTCTATCGGAGGCTCGCGCGACGCAAAAGCTCGCAACAGAGACAATATGCGAGATAATGGCTAATAAATCGTGCAACACACGACGCCGGCGATTCGTTCGCTCATCGCGCATGCGTGCGAAAATTTCCCGCTGAATTTCCCACCGATTTCCCTGCGATATTTTCCTCCTTGGCATACTAGGCTCGCGAAGAAAGATCAACGACGCTAATAAGAGCGTGGGAGAAAAGGGGAGGTATTTCATGTTTCATAAATTCTTGAAGATTAAAATCATGAATGAAAAGTATCGGGAATATCGATTAAAACTTTAGCAAGACGGAGCTCACTTAATCCGATGATTTGTGGGATTATCCATAAGAAACTTTTACATCGGTACGTTATTGCGTTAACTTTGCTCGAGGGAAGGATGTTACGTAATGCGTAAAAAATTTTACGCACTTTCCAGTTTATTAAGAAATTAAATTGCAAATATATTAAAATATTATTCAAAATTATGTCTAAAAAAACTGCTCGCTGCGGACGAGCAAGATCTTGGGAAACATTCTGTATATTTTTTTCTCTTTCCCTCTCTTTTGTCGAGTAACTGTCATGTATGTGTGTGTGTGTGTGTGTGTGTGTGTATGTGCTTCGCGTAAATAAGTTATTTCCGGCTGGATCGACCCGCCGAACGTTTTCAGATACGAAAACCAAACTTTCTTATATAGTTTGACATATTTATAGCCCGATACAATATTCAAAATGTTTTGCTACAAATTGGTGGTCTCTCTCGAAAAATTTCTGCCCAATTAATTTCGTCTCTGACATTTAAACCTTGGCCATTTCCGCAGTTTTCGAGCAATCTTCCCTTGTTTTCTCAATTTAAAAATGATCAATATTGCTAAAAAGAGTCAGCAATTGGCGACCAATCAAGTCCGCTTAAGGAGGAATCGATTCTATATTAGCTGAGGAATCTCGTTACGCGGCGCGAATCCTCGACGCGAAATCCTGAATAATAGAATAGAAATGAAATTGAATGAAATGGAATAGAAGAGTGGCCTCTGAATAATCTAGTTTTCTCAATCGGGTAGGCTAAACATTAATAGTCGGGGGCACCCTGTATACAGAATAATGACGTCAACGGCGATTGAGTAGTATGATTCCCGGTAGTTTTGCGCCGGTTATAGAATCACTGCAATAAGTTATAAGAGCGCTTATAAACTGCGGCGACTTAGAATGCAATGCCATTACTCTGTCTCTGCGTCATTTGTTCCCCATCAAAAGCACAATCGGACCTCGAATCCGTATAATAAAAGCTCGTTAAACAATAGCGGATTATTCGCGAGATGGGAGAATAATTGGACGATACTTCGAAATTGACAGCTTTCATTATAGATACCCTCATCCTCTCGGGAGCGCAATAATTGAAGTGTAAAATATGTAATGTAATGCGCATCGAGTGAATTAATATCCACCCTCCTCTCGATCGTCGCTTTAATCGTCTTAATATCGAGCTGAACGCGAAAAGGCACAATTAAAATGGATAATTGCGAATTGAGTAATTTGTTCTTCGTCGATTTCGATTTATCCCCGATAATATTTAAAACGCAAATTGAGAAAGAGATGATCCGTTGAATAAATATTAATAAAATGCAAATGTACGCGTGTATTTATGTAAATATTAATTTAACCCGTCGCTCTCCCTTTTTAATCAATTATCTCGTAATTTTATTATCGCGAATAAATAAATGGTTGTGATTAAATACATCGGTAAGTGAAGTTTACCGATTGGCTTGTGTTTCTGGGCGTAATTTTGCTTCTCTTTTTTTCTTCACATTCGTTTTTGATTTATGGGGGATCGCGATAACGAGAATGCCTGCGTTCGAGCCAGCAGTTTCGATGCCGAACATTTATTCCAGAGCGTGCAGATAACATATGTGAGTGACGTCAAATGAATCGTAAGACTAACTTCCGTTCATTGAGCATGCAAAATTTGCCCTGAATTATTCAAATTATACAACTATTGGCCGAGAATTAAATGCAAATGGCTAACGAAGAAACTCCATTGATATATTAAAGGTTAGAATTGCACTTTCAGCATTCGAAACATATCGAAATTTACAGTCATATTGTAGATTATTAAAAAGAATTTATTTTTCTATAAATATTTCTGAAATTTTTGATTGATTTTAATTTTTTACACGATTTGTCAAAATTAATTCACATTCAGTAAATAAATTTTTAGTAAAATAAATAAAACTTATATGACTATTTTCGCTTTATCTTCGCGATGCGGAAGATACTTGAGAGTCTCTGCTGATTACGGCGCACAAATTGATAATGAAGCGTGTATTTCGATGCTCCGCGATAACATTTGGCACACAGTGACGTCAAATGCGTACGCAAGTCCCCTGTTTCTTTGCGCTGACCCGTTACATCGACAGTAGAGACATACAACACAATTCTTATATTCCCGCATGCTTTTCATTATATACGGTGTCACGAGAAAATAAAACTGAATAAAATATTTACGCGTTTAAAATATATAATAAAGTTTAATTATTTATTTATTTATTTATAATTAATTATTTATCAATTGGAGAATTAATTGACTGTACATTCTATAAAGAATTGTTTGAAGAGCATAAATAAATGCACGGTAAAATAATTGACCGAAAAGTAACATATAAATAATATGATAAAGATATTTTCTTCCAAGCATAAATATTAAGATGTTTTTTCGATAAGAGAAGAATAAATTAAATGCCGCGGAAAATAAAATAACGAGGATATTTTTCTCTTGTAATTGACCATTCTTCTACATAACAAAGTTAGTATCGATTTTTCCTCAAGTGTAATTTAATCAGCGACTTGATAGAGAGACTGTTAAGGCAGAAATGTAAATTACTAACAATCTTACGTTTTAATTAATTCAAAGTAAATTACTTTATAATGAGAAAAGAAACTTTATGATCTTAATGCTCTCTCGAAAATGAAAAAGAAACTCGTGTTATTTTGTTTGCGATGTTTAGCGAGGGAAAAAAAACTTTAGTCCGATTTTTAAAAAATTCACAACGGTTGGCACGTGAAAATCGGGATTTGCATGAACACACGGTATAGGATCCATCCCGTCTCATGTTATATCTCGTGTTACACTCGTCATCCGTCCATCTGTAACCGATGGTGGCACGCGGCGTGTAAAACCCCGCGAGTACAAATTATTGTACCGGCATTATCGTATTAAGTATTATTTGAGCGCCGATTGAAATTGACATCCATTTGCCGGAGCGGTTCAGTGTAAGCTCGACGTCGCCCCGAAGTGCTCCGCCATCTTTCCCCTCGATCGCACCTCGAGTACATAATTTTGAAAAAATCCAGTGCAAACAATTTATTATCGCGACAATATCAAAGCAAAAATTTTTAAAATCTAAAAAATTTGTGAATTCCTATATAAAAAAGCAACACTTTCTTGAAATGTAGCGGCGAATTATTATCAATATTTTTGAAAAAGAGATAAATCATTTTTCTACAAAATCCAATATTTTTTAAAAAGAGATAAATTACTTTTTTTCAAATCCAATATTTGCAGAATTCTCGGAAATAATTATACGAAACGAGAGCAAAAAGAAAGGAGAGGAAGTTCTACGTATTACAAAAATAATATAGTATATAATTAATTCCGCAATTATCTTCATAAGTATTAATGACTCATTATTTCATAATTAATTAATTGGCTGAAATAAATACAAACATCATTAAAATGAAAGCGGGAGAGAAAATAATAGAGGTAAATAAGGGATGTTTTAATAATAGTACCCTGCAAACACCAAGTAATATTTATATAATTGTATAATTGTTACATAACATACATGTAACAGTTATATTGTTGAGTGGGAAATTACAACTAAAACAATTATATAACTGTTACTTGATATTTGTCTAGTAGTTATTAAAAAAAGGAAAAAAAAAGATTACTCTCTCTATATCGCAATATAATTTTAAAATACAATTTTATGTACAACTATTAATTATTAAATAACCTTGTCGCGATGATCTCGCAGTGGGAGAGCTCGGAGTCGGACTTCTCGGATACTGAGGACTCAAATGAGCTAGAAGCCAGTGTCGGCCCCGAAAGCAACGCGATGGACACTGTAGATAGTGTCAACAAACGACAGGCCACTCGTGTCTTCAAGAAGTCCAGCCTCAATGGCAAGATCACCGTCTACCTCGGCAAGAGGGACTTCGTCGATCACATCACGCACGTCGACCCGATCGGCAAGTATCCAGCATAATTAATATCCATGCATGCATCCTCTCGCACGGGAATAACACGCACGGTCGCGATATGTTTTCTTAAAATAACGATTGCACACGCAACGCATGACTTCATCTCTTCTGCGAATCGAGTGGAATAAGAGAAACGATTTCCACGATTCCAGACGGGGTCGTCCTGATCGATCCCGATTACATAAAGGAGCGAAAGGTGTTCGGTCACGTCTTAGCGGCGTTCAAGTACGGCAGGGAGGATCTCGATGTCCTCGGGCTGACCTTTCGCAAGGACCTCTATCTCGCCGCGGAACAGATCTATCCGGTGGTGCAGGGATCTCAGCCCCCCCGGGAGCTGACGCGATTGCAGGAAAGGCTGATCAAGAAGCTAGGGAGCAATGCGTATCCCTTTTACTTCGAGTTACCACCCCATTGTCCTGCTTCGGTCACCCTACAACCGGCCCCGGGTGACACCGGCAAACCCTGCGGCGTCGACTATGAGCTGAAGGCGTTCGTAGGTGAGACGCAAGATGACAAACCGCATAAAAGGTACGAGAATCTCAATACAATGTTAGAAAAAATCCTTGTTTTTAAAGAAATATTATTTAAGAAATATTATTAAAGAAATATTATTTTATTTATAAATAATAAAATATAAATAGTTTATTATTATTTATATAAATATATTTTATAAATAATAATTTATATTTTATAAATATTTTATAAATAATAATTTATGTTTTATATTTTATTCATATTTTATAAAAATTTTATTTGAAATTTTGGATTATTATCAGATTTAAGAAGAGGACTTAATCTTTATAAAAATAAATTTTTAAAATGATTTTATTCTAGATTTTTAAAAAATCCAATATTCATAAACAATTTCAATTTTATTAAAATAATTTTTTGTAAAAGAAAGGATATGCTTATTTAAAATAGATTTTATTTCATTTATCTAGTTTATTAAATAATTAAATTTACTTTAGATGAAATAGATTTTATTGAATTTATTAAGTCACTTAAATTTATTAATTTAATTTATCATTTATTTAAAATGAAACAGATTTTTCCCACATATTCTTGATTCAGAATCCTTTCCATTACATGGAAAATATTTCTGTTTACAATTAATATAATTAATTATGGCTTTCATCGATGGGCTGATTCGATTTGCAGGAGCTGCGTGAGGCTAGCGATCAGGAAGATCATGTACGCGCCCTCGAAACAGGGCGAGCAGCCATCGGTGGAGGTCAGCAAGGAATTTATGATGTCCCCGAATAAATTACACTTGGAGGCCTCTCTCGACAAGGAGCTCTATCATCACGGCGAGAACATAGCTGTGAACGTGCACATAGCAAACAATAGCAACCGGACTGTGAAAAAGATAAAAGTGTCGGTTAGGCAGTTTGCGGACATCTGCCTGTTCTCCACGGCGCAATATAAGTGCACCGTCGCCGAGGCCGAGAGCGAGTGAGTATTCTCCACCCGATAACCTCCCCCATCCCTTACCAAGGAACGACGATATCGCATTTTCGTCGAGAGATCGCGAGATTCGATCTGAAAAGCGATTTTCACGGTAAAACCAAACATGACGAGAATCAAATTGCCACGATTTTCGAGCAAAATCTCGTCTATTTTTTAAGAAACTTAAATTAGAGGACCTGAATTTAATTTAATTCCCTCATTATACTCTTAGGAATTAAATCAAATTTAAATAAAATTTTGTTTTCTAAATAAAAATTAATTTATTAAGAGAAATCTTGGCGACAATTGTTTTACTTTTGCAAATCGCTTTTTTGATTACGATAAAGATAGTTGTGGGTTGAAATTTATTTAATTCAGTAAGCGATTAATTTCTCAGACTACGAATGATTCAGGCGATTGATTTAACGTTGTTAATAATTTGTACTCGAAATATCGCTGGCCGAAAGGCCCTCGTTTCTCGGACTGCAATAAAGTTTTAGCGATTTAGACGCTATCGCGCGATCGTACGAGAAAAGAAGCGGGACTGTGACGAGCAGGAAAATAAGATTATTGCACTGGCAGTATAGGGGTAGCGCCAGGATTCACTCTGAGCAAGGTGTTTTCTCTAAGGCCGACGCTTGCCGAGAACAAAGACAAGCGGGGCCTAGCTCTAGACGGTCAGCTTAAACACGAGGACACCAATCTCGCGTCTAGCACAATGTGAGTGCGAGATTAAGAGCTCGCTGTTTCCCTCATTACTCTTTCACCTTTTCTCTGCCGGGGGTACTAAGGGGGAAGAAAAAAGTAAAGATAACGGGGAGGCTGGAAAGCGGCCAAATGCACAGGCTCGCGTCATTTCTCCGCGGCTATAATCACGACTATATCTCATGACGAACAGTCGGACTTTATGGGAATTGGTCGTGCTCGAGTGCCGTAAAGATGAGACGCAGCGATGTGCTCTGTCAAATTTTTTTTGGAGCAGCCTTATAAAATTACTGGAAAAGAGAATTTTTTTTAATATTACTCTGCGCTTTAATAACGTTCGAGAGTGATTGAGAAAAATTTAATTGAATTAAAAATGAGATTCAGTTGGAAATTGAATTAAAATTAGAATTAAATTAATTCTTGAGAGATAAGTCTTTTAAAAATCTTGTAAGGAAAGTTATTTTAGAAGTTAATAAAATATACACATGTGATTGAAATTATTCGCTTATAAATCTCTCAAATAAATTTCATAAATTTCATTAAATCAAAGAAGAATAAGTAAAATCAGAAACAAAGACAGAAAGAGCATTAAATTTAATCGCGTCTTTTCATTCGAGAAATTTATCATTTCTTTAAGCATTGAAATATCATGAGAATGAGGAAAAATAGAGTTGAAAGGCCATTTTCAGCCCCCTCTTTTGCTATCTATTTTTTCATTTCCTTATTAATGCAAAAAAATATTGAAAAATGGAATGACAGTACCTTCTTAGTGACTTTGTGCTGGGGATTTTTAGCGTGGTGGCCTGTAATCACGTATAGATCTCGATCGGTGGTGGTCTCATTTTCTTTGCAAAAACCTCCCTCTCCTCACACAAGCACTCTCTCTCTCTCTCTCTCTTTCTCTTTCTCAATCTCCGCCCCCTCCATTTTATTTAAATCTTGAGATGTATATATTTTTGAATTTTTATATTTAACTTTTTTTATATTAGAAAAAGTATTTTCTTAACATTTTTTCCTTAGGTCCTTAAAATAAATTCCTCTCCTATTAATATACACATAAGTAAGTGTACGTCTCACACTCTATATATATATTCCTCTGAAGTACAAGATTGTCGAGTTCTTACCCTATTCTCGTCTCTCGTAATCTGTATCGCAGTGTAACGCACAAGCTGACATATCGTGACGTATACACATATCTCGAGACAAAAATAATTTTAATTTCTTTCATTTAATCTTCGTTTAATCTTCATGTAATCCTCGTTTAATTAGTCATTCATTTCCGCTGAAAATCGAAAATTTTATAAATTCCTTTCAAAGGCAGGAAATCATTAAAAATTATAACGATCGTTTCAGAATTATTCTAATTCAATAATAGGCAATTTCTCTAATAAATTTTTTATAGATATAAAATTGAAATTTATTTCTAAAAAATATACATATATATAAACGTATTTATATTTCATTAATAATAAATATAAATTAATATGTATGACTATTAATAAGAAGAAATTAGATAGAATTAAGATTCCATTTTATGAACGAACTTTACGCTGACAGCGCGATTAATCTCGCGATTTCGGTCCGCACGTGACGCGCACTGACACTTATGCTGATTGTGTGTTCAAATGTCAGAGAGGGATGCCCAGTGGGCCCGGGTTTCACGCTCAGCAAGGTGTTCACTTTGACACCCCTCTTGGCCAACAACAAAGATAAATGGGGGCTCGCCCTCGACGGTCAGCTCAAACACGAGGACACCAATTTGGCGTCCAGCACCCTGTAAGGATGCGATGCCTGAAACTAAGCCTGCAGATACACGCAGACATGCTTAGATTATATCGATACGCCGCACCGTGTTATTAATCATACATTTAGCGCTCGAGAAAAAGAGGATATCCATCAAAATTGCTCATTAATAATTTCGATATTTTGACGTCTTGTGCACAATATATTTCCAAAATTAGAATTTCCATAATTAATGACACTGACGAAGCAATTCTAAAGTTTTCTTTTTGTAATATGGTTGGATTTGTACGAAAAATATAAACATAAAACAGTAATAATTATGGCATTTAATTGTACTTTTTTATGTAGAAGAATATATATTTTCTCTCTAAATATTTTTATATTATTATAATTATTGAAAAACATTTTTATACAATAAAATATTATTATATAATATTAAATAATTTTTATATAATTTTTAAAATATTTTTATATCATATAATATTTTCGTAAAGAAAATATTGGAACATTGGAATAGTATATCTAATAATTTTTTGATTCATAATTAATAAATTAATAAATTTCCTAAATAGATAATTAATAAATTTCCAAAAAATTAGCCATATAAGTAATAAAAATATTTAGAAAAAAATATATAGAAAAAAATTAAAAAGAAAAAGAGAAAGATTTAGCACGTTTTCGAAAAACTCGACAAGTACAGCGCTAAATGTAAGACAACAATACGGGCGGTGTCACATATAACACACACACACACACACACGTGTTTTACTCACGCAACGAGCTGCTGAACACGCCTTTGGGAATTTTTCTCATCCGCAACGCTTTCCATACACGATGGCGGAAATATACATGTTGGCTGCCTGTGCGAAAGCTTTTCTCAACGATTATTTCTTCGATTTCTCTTTGATTTCTCGATCGATTCATCGAACAATGACGAGCAACCGACATTATCGATGTGTCATTTTGTTTTGCAAAATTTTCATGTCTCATTCAGCTTCGCTGGAAATTGTTCTTACGTGCGCACGTCTTGAATTTCTTAGATCTGGATCTATGGATCTCTATTTTCAACTAAAATTCAGGAATCTGAAGAATTTTCCGTAATTTTGGAAGCCTCAGAATCGATGAACCTTGAAATCCATAGATCTTAAGATCCTTTTGCTCTTTCGATGCTAATTTTTCAGAATCTTGCATTGGTCTTTCATTGACAAGGATTCAAGCTCGATTCAAAATCGAACTTTAACTTCGATATCTTGTTATTTTTATGCGTATCTCTCTCAGTGAAAATTAAACACATTTCATTTTCTGCATTAAATTCAACTAAATTCAATGACTAACTCAATGACTCGATCATAAAAATTGTAATAATTAAAAGGCTGAACCTTTGTTCATTATTTTTTTCCCGACTTTTCAAACGTTTCTTGAGATGCATCTGTTTCATTAGTGTTAGAAAGATTAAGAGAAAAAAAAGCTAGGCTCTAAGAGATTTAGAATATTTAGGGCAAACATTTAAACCAAAATCCCATCTTCCTTCTGTTTGTGCTTGTTGTTTAAAAACATGGCATCGCCACCGCATTGTGCCTGCGTAAAATTGCATGAAAAGATTACAACTTGTTCTTTGTCGATGCAAATCTAGTTTCATTGATAGCTTGACTAAAAATATGTACGTGATTACCGTTTTTTTGTATAAATGTTTTGTACATAAATGTATCTGTATAGTTAAATGCTTGCTTATTTAAAGAAACTGGAATAAATCCAGTTTACAATTTTCCTTTCATTTACTTCTCCTCGCCTTTGCATGATGCTATAACACAAATAACCACGCATGAGCTTGTTTGTGACATTAATGTGAGTTTATCGATGAAAATGATGTTAATAATGACCATGAATCTAATTTGCAGTGTGGTTGACCCGTCGCAGCGTGAAAACCTTGGCATAATCGTCCAGTACAAAGTCAAAGTTAAACTTTGCCTCGGTGCTCTTGGAGGGTAAGTGTCAATTAAGTGTCTCGAGATCTGAAATTTATGTTTGGAGAATATTTACAATTAATAAAATTTCTCTAGAAAAGGGATATAAATATTTTTAATAATTTTTATAACAATATAAATGTTTTTAATCATATTTTAAACGACATTTTGAATAATTCAAATTTTTCTGAGATCTTTCTGTAAATTTAAATATTTTTATTTTGATACTTGAATCTATAGCTCTCTAAGATCGTTAGAAAAAAGTTGAAGGTTTAAGATTTATAAGTTTCTAGATCACATAGATTTAATTAATATGTTTCGATAAATTTGTAATATAGATTTTTCTGTTATTACTCTATTAATAGCGAGTTAGTTGCGGAACTGCCGTTTATTTTGATGCATCCCAAACCGGAAGAGGAGGAACCAATACCGTCCACAGCTCGACCAAGCCCTACGCACAAAACTGACAGCGGAGAAGTTCCGCTCGATACAAATCTGATACAACTTGATACGTGAGTAACTGAATTACTTTTAATTGGAATATCATTTTAAAATATAAAATTTCTTATACGAATAAATTTATTAGTTATTAAATTAAATTTATTAGTTATTTTATTAGACATTTCATTAAACGTGATTAATAAATTATATTTGTTAATAACTACATCATTACCCAGCAAACACCAAGTAACATTTATATAATTATTAGTTGTAATTTCTCACTCAATAATATAACTGTTACATGTTGTGTAACTGTTACATAACATTATATAACTGTTATTTATTAAAAAGAGAGAGAGACCTAATTTTTTTTAATTTTATCCCTATTTGAATTATATCCTATCTCTTTAAAAAAAGGTTAAGAATTTATAAATTTTAATTTTTCTTTAATTCTTTCGAGTGAAAATGTCGATTTTGAGACGCCTAATTTTCTCGCAGGGAGGCGGACGGCGACGACGACATAATCTTCGAGGACTTTGCTCGTCTGAGGCTGAAAGGCGAGACGGAAGCTTGACCGTGTTCAGCAGATTCCTCATCGATATGCATCGATGCCCTCGATCGTGTGACCCTGACGCCCCCGTGTCGCACACAAGACGGAAGCTGCACAATGTCGCCAATGATGCCAATAACAGCGACGCCGCAACAACAGACTTAAACGGCGTTTATCGTTCAAATTTGTTTTTGCGGAGTCGCTGCTACCCTTAAGTACAAAATGTCCCCGACATGACGGTTTACGCGGGACATTTTAAGATTTGTTGTCGCATAAGAAAGTTGGGTGAAGAGGGAAAAGTCGAGGAGAAAAACTTCTCGAGGGGAAACTTGCGTGAAAGAGAGAAGGAGAAAGAGAGAGAGAGAGAGAGACGAATTCCGAGCACGTTTGCTCGCTTTTCGCGGATCTTTTTTAGACAGGCTTTTTCAAACGAATACGCGAACCGGAAATGACATCGACAAAATTCTCCTTCAACAATCATTTACTTTCACTGATCGAAGATGCGCAGGAAATTAAAGTTTCCCGAAAATATTTTCTTCTTTCTTTTTTTTTTTTTTTTAATATCCTGCCCATCGTTGTTCGTACAATTTATTAAGATAATCGAGCCGTTGTTATTTATGACGTGTGTTCGTCGTCGGATCGTGACGATCTTGATTTATGGGAAAAAGTACGATTACGGCGATTTCGTGATTGACACTTATTGCGAGTTTAACGCCGTCGCCATTTTACGCTTTGTCTCCGAAGACTGATTTTAGAAAGAAAAATCCAAAAATCTAGCTGATGAGATGTATTTATTGTAAAACTTTCAACAATGAAAGAAATTTTGCAAAATAATACGTAATATTTATGTAAATTTAGAACCGACATTTTTCTTCGGAAAAGATGCAAATCGCAATTGAAAATCGCAATTAATTCAATTGCAGTCAATTTACCAATTACCACATTAACCCATCTCATAAACGCGATTTGATTAGATGTCGCTTGATTCAATTAATTAGCAATAAATCGTCAGTCGATTAAATATTACGGGATCGATAGAAATTCAAGAACGTGCGAGAGTCTTGGTAAGTTTGTAGGCATTTTAGTGATTGTGATTTCTTAAACGGCCAGTATATCGTCTTTAAGTTAGAACGCGAGAAATAAAACTTTGTTCTCGAATCGTCAATTTTACTTTATCGATGCAAACAATAAATGTATACAGTGCGTTGCGAATATTGTTTGCGCAAACAAGCGTAAGCGCCTCTCGAATTAATTCCACGATAAACATACAATTGACACAGATAAAAATAATTGATCGCGGAAGAAGATGAAAGGAGAGATATTTTTATGGAAAACTATACACAAACTTTTGATTCTCACGACAACGAGGATAGGAAATTATCCCGCGAGTCTGTAAGGAATCGATGCTTCGAGGAATCTATCTCGGAAGTGCATGAATAATGTCGCAATTTGACTCGGGCACTCGACAAAAATGCGCGAGGGAGAGAAGGAAAGATGAAAACGCAGATGTCAATTCATAGATGTATTTATGGATAATTTGTAGAACTGGTGAAACACTGTAAGATTTACTAAAAATCCGTTGCACGTTCCCCTCTCTCCTCCCGCTCCCAATCATCCGATTGATTTTTTTTTTCTTAATTAAGCGAGCACCGTCGATTTCGATTGATGCGCACACCTCAAGATTGCTTGAGAATTCGATTTTCGCGCAATGAAATGTCGCATAATCTCGACGTCCGCCCGTTTATGAGAAAATAAAATCCGTTTAGCGAAGGTATATATATACTTGATATCGATTGCCTAATAAAATCCCGAACGCGAAGACCTTCGCTACGAAAACGACGAAAAATCGTCGGACAGAGTCCGCCATTCGAAGTAATAAAATGTCATGGCGAATCGTAGGCATACGGATGACGTTTATGTAAGACGCATTCTCTAAACAAAATATTTTCTTCTAAATCTTAGATATACGATATGATTCTGTCCATCACGTTTCAGATAGAACATTATTTTTTCTATCGATGAAAATTTAAATAATTATAAAGTAGCAAAGTTTATAAATTATAATTAAACCTACCTTTCAGAATTTAACAATTTTTATTAAAGAAAAGAATGAAAGACCCGCTGTCAACTATTAATTTCAACTACTAAAGAAAGTCAAGTCAACGATAAGCGATTCACGTTGGTGGAGAAGATTAATTATCGGTGACATTAATTAGGATGACGGGGGTTGCAAAGCTATAGAGAAACAGCATTGTACTACATGTATATGTATGTATGTATATATACGGGAAAAGAAACAAGATAATAGTATTTTTTATCACTTTAGCATTTACAAACTGTGTATTTAGATGAGATAACTAAACGTGTGGTCCGCGTTTCTTCGTCGCGCGTTTAAGATTAAAAACGCACGACGAAAATGCAGCCGTATCTATTCATACCAAAGCCGATATTTCCGTCTTTTCTTTCCGAAAAAGAAGTATCTGTCACGAAGAGCATCAATAGCCCACCAAGAAAGTATAAATTAAATTTTTCAATTAAGTACGTATCTGTATAATTATTTATTATTAATGAGGCGAAAATTATTGATTTTATGAATGTATAAGTTTAACACGCTTGCGGGAAAAAATTACTAGCAAGAAATTATCTTATCTTTGAAATTCACTTTATATTGTAACAATGAATAATATGTGTATTTTTAAAATCGATATTTTTCATTGATTTAAGTTAAATTAAATATTATCTTAATTCTTTGTATATTTAATTATTATTTTACTCAGTATCCTATACCAGTGGATTTCTTAGAAAGAATCAACTCGTTCTTTTACCTCGTTTTCGTGAATAAAAAAAAAAAAAGGAACGTGCACGTTCAACGAAAGCTAGCTATTTAATTAAGGGACGAACCTTTTTGCGATTGTGCGGCAAATGTCGATTGCCGACACTTCGATTATCGCTTCGAGCGACGAGTGTATGAGTGTGTACATGTGCAGGCTTGTATAATGAGAGTATATTTTATATTCGCCCGCGGACGCGCGCATATTTTTTATATGATCGCAAACGGTAGGTCGTTAACATTTTTATTGTCATCCGGTTAGAAGGAAAAGAATCACAGGAGAGAATTATATTGCACAAAAGAGAGAGAGAGAGAGAGAGAGAGAGAGAGAGAGAGAGAGAGAAATAATTAAAGTCAATATAAAGGATGCCGTCTCTGCAATTTTAATGTTCGAGACTGTTTTCTCGCGATACGAAAAAGACCACGTGATACACAGGGTGTCGCAAAAAGACGCGAGAGATTTATTTTAAAATTAAAAATCCTCTTTTTTATTCACCCAGCAAACACCAAATGACAGTTATATAATTGTTACTTGGTGTTTGCTGGGCAATTTCAAAGATCGAGTTATATTATAAATTATTACTGAAACGCTCCAATATTAATATTTCGCCAAGAATCCTAATGATTCGAATTTTTTAAAGATGGAATACTGATGCGACATTTTTTTTGGGACACTCTGTATTTAACGAATCACCCCCTACAGCACAGACTATTGTTGTTACATTGCAGCAATATCGCAATATTACAACGGTCTGTGCTGTATGGGACAGTATCACTGCGATAAGAGAGGTAAACGATTACGCTTCTTCGATACAACACATATTTTGCACCGGAAAATTCACATTTTCTCTCATTTGTACCTCATTTAACCGAAGCTCTTTACTGCTCTGTGGACATGGAATAGCCATTGTGTGATTAAACAGCGAAGCGTGCTCTTACCAGAATGTCAGCATCGCAGAAAACATCAAATAACAGTTATACAACTGTTATAATTTGTCACTCAACAATATAACTGTTACATAACATGTAATAATTATATTGTTGAGTGGGAAATTGCAATGATATAAATGTTACTTGGTGTTTACTGGGATCATTCGATACACGTAGAATGAAAATAGTTTCTCACATCGCGCATAATAAATGATATAAAAAGAAGAAGAAATAAACTAAAGAGAAGAGAAAATTATGCGTGCTTGTCTCGAGAGTGTATCTGTAATTAATGTAATCGAGTCAATGTACAAGTGTATTGTGGTTTACATTACAACTGTAATTTACAAGTGTAAATTGACACAAAGAGCCATTATATTGCTATAACTTGTACATTGCACTGGAAACGATTTATTTATTGGAGCCGCGCGTTGTTAGTTAGCAAGAAAATCGTGTGTCGTTCATGATCGTTCGCTGTTCATTCGTGAATAATTCGTTTTGTATGTAAAAGGGATTACAAAAAAATTACTAACGTAAGAGAAAAACAGAGAAAGAATGTATGTGAGAGAGAGAGAGAGAGAGAGAGAGAGAGAGAGAGAGAGAGAGAGAGAGTATGTGTGTGTGTATGTAAAGTAAATGGCATGGAGTAAACAATGCATAATATATTGTATATGTAAAAAAAACGTGTGTATTCTCGTATTATAACTAGCTGTAATAATTTAATAAATCCTGTATATCGAAAAAAAAAAACACAAACGCACGAACCGTGTTCGCGTGTTTTTCTCTTTTTTTCTTAAACATCCGTTATGCAAAATTTTGCAGACTCTTTTAGAGCGATCAGTTTCTTTTCTACTATCTCTCTTTTATTCAAAGAAATTTTTTTAAATAATGATAAGAATAATATATTTAATTCGAAATATTTATGTAACGCGTGACAGTTTAACATGGAATGCACAATAAAATATATCGTCAAATCTCTATATTTTTATCTCGTTAATACGTTATCAAATATATTAAATTTTGCACACACAATATACGTAATAAGATAATGCAGTATTAAAATACTTTCCAGATTCTTCCAGGAGCGATTTTAATATAATCGTGATACTTTTCGCAATATCTGTTGTTCGAGCTTTCTGAAGTTATATAAGTTCCTTAATTAAAGAGCTAACGTCCAATTAACGAAATTAAATTGATTTAACGAGAAAAGCTCTACCTTGTCCGAAATGAAATGCACATCTGTCTGATAAAAGCGCATCTTTTTTTAATGAATCGTGCTAAGCAGCTTTGGAATACCGCGGAAATTCCGTCGAAAATATTTAAATTAATATCACAATATATATTTTATTCTAATTTTTTGTTTCTCTCATTTATACTATAAATATAAATTGTTTATAAAATATATAAAAATTAATATATAAATATAAGTATATAAGCTATTGATAATTAATAATGCTTAATTTGTATGCTTTATATCTTATATTTAACTATTTTGTATGAAATATACGTATGAAATATATAATTAAATGGAAAACATAAAGCGTCCAAATTAATATATATCACTAAATCTTAATTTAAATCACACACACATATACGTGTCCCAATGAGAGAAATCATTATTTTTCATTAAATTTTCAATTTTTGCCATATATATTTTTGTAATTAAATTAAAATTAAAATGCCATAAATTAAAATAATATTCTTAAAATAAACTTTATTTAAATTAAAATTTTATTAAAATAAACTTTATAAGGAATTTAATGAAAAATGTAATTTTGATCATCTTTTAACTCTCACTCCATAACCTAGTCTAGTTTAGAAAAAAGCTCCTCTTCTTGAATCGCTTTTAACTCGCGAATTGATGCGCCGACATTTTTGCTGAGAAAAAAAATTATCTCCAAGTGATCTGAAAAAACTATTAACAAACAAACGATGCGGTAATTCTTCGAAAGCACCCTAGTACATTCAAATAGTAATATTATGGTTGGTAAATAATGCGAAAGCAATGTTAACAATTATCTCTCTTTCAATTTTAACTTCAAAATTAACTCGAACACGAAGAACGAAGGTATTCAAATATCTCTTGCAGTTTTCAAAGTAAGTTGCAAACACGTAGAAGGAGGGAGGGGATGGAAAAGGATAAGAAGTGAACTAATAAAAAGAGTGAATTCTCCATTTCATTCACGTAGAAACTTCATTCAGATTCGGCCTTTCACGATTTCTCGTTATAAATCGCGTTCTAGAAAGCAGGAAATCGAAGGGAGAGAAATTAAAAAGAGGCGAAAGGTCATTTGCAACAGGACGAGGTTCGAGAGTACAGAAGAAGAGCGATCCTTCGCCGAGAAGGGGTGAGAGAAAATAGAAGAGAGAAGCGGGAAAAGAAAAGAAATAAGGAAAATAAGAAAAACGGGGTGGTAAGAAGGAGGCGGGGGAGGAATGGATGGACAGGAAGGGTGATATCGGGTGGCGCGCGAATTTTAACGCGCGCCGCTCTCGCCTCCGTCTTGCGCTCATCTCCCTTCATCTCACCACGCAGCCTCCGTTGTTCCCTCTTCAGTATGATCCGCGCGGTCCGAGCGCGAGTACGCGTGCATTCCAGCCTGTTGTTCGGTTGTTCCATCGGGAGACGATTTCGTTAGGGGGGGGGGGGAAATGCCGATACTCGTGAAGGGAATTTTAAGTTAAACCGATTTTAGAGATTTTTTTTACGAGTACAGAAAAATAGGCGATTGTGTCTTTGAAGTTCCAAGTTACCCTCTCTCTTTCTTCTTCCCTCTTTTAACTGTCACATTCGTACATGACAATCTTTATGGAGACAAGTAGGTGAAATGAGCGATCTCCTGTAGTTTTAATTAATGTGTAATAATTTGCTGTCGATTTGTTCAAATAAGTTACGCGAGTTAGAAATTTGCGGAGGCTTTTATGTCGAACTATTTGCATTAGTTGCTCCACGATATAGTCATATAACGGCGAGTTTATCAAAAGTTGCGCCAGGCAAACTAAAGTTGGATTAAATTTGAAGATTTTTAATGAGATAATCGATCGTTGCGCGTAAAAGGCCGCTCTATTGACTTTTAAAGAATTTAATCTAATTCCTATGGTAATTTTTATCGATATTATATACAGATATTTGTCCGATAAATATGCAAGATTTTCAAACATGTATACGCTAAAAATTGATGGAGTTGCTGCATAAATTACTGAATAAATGCGAGAATTAATTTGCAAAAATTAAAATATAAATTAACATTGAATTAAATTATACAGAGTTTTAATAAATAGAAAATTAACAAAAAATTAAAATATAAATTAACATTAAATTATACGAATTTTTAATAAGGAAATTAACACAAGATAAATAAAGAATTTAAATATAAATTAATATTGAATTAAATTATATAAATTTTTAATAAAGATTTTTAGTAAAAATAATTGAGGTCGATAACTGGAGCTCGCAAAGATTTCTGTTATGATTGTATAACCAGTCTAAAATTAATTAATTAAATAACACTAATCAATTTTTCATTCCGTTGCTATTTATTTCAGTTGTAGTTTTGGCAAACATTTGTACTAAAAATAGATACAATAATGTCTTCAATTTGACACGTTCCGATTGCAATCTCTAATCCATCTTATTGTCGATTCATCTCGGGATTCTCATTCGAATCCCGAGTTTTTCGAGCTTTTGTGCATGAAAAAAAGGAATCATGCTACTTTGCTATTCAAATATCGAACGAACCGCTCGAGTTTTAATAAACTCGATCGGCCCGCGATCCATCTTGGATATCAAAGATTCATATAATGCCGTGAGATTCTATGGCATAAATTCGTGGTATGCTACGCGGAAGGTGACACGCGACTCTCTGAAATTCAAATCAGCAGTATTTCTTGGCAAGTTACACTTAACCATGTATAAACTATAAATTACGCGAATGATTAAACTCTCTCAATTGTAAATTTTAAAATTGTATTAAAAGAACTCGATAATATGAATATTTTTAAACACAGGAAGATTAAACCTTTTTCTCTCTCTCTCTCGCTTTTTCGAGAAAAAAATTAAAAGCGTCTATTCTGAATTTACCAGAGAATTTGCGACTGAAAAGTACAAGAAGGGAGGTGTGATTTCTGAGCAGAGTAGCCTTGAAATCGTCAAAACTATGGCAGAATTTACCCTCATACACTCATCATGTTGCTCGATGACTTTTTCTACTCAGCAGTTTTGACGAAAGTTGCTCCATTCCAACTTTCCTTAAGAGTCTTTGGTTGCCTTCGTGTAAAAGAGAGTCGTTTATAAACTTGTAACATCCAGTAAATTATATAACTCGCGAAGTCTCGGGAAGGGGACGGGGGTGGGGATTCACGGACAGGAGAATAAACATTTACTTTTATTCTTTTGCCATCTGTCAGAACCGTGTCGGAGGAATCGACGAGGAAAAGAGACTACCCCGAGCCGATATGAAACGCGAGTGAAAATTTCGCGAAGAAGGTAAGATGTGTTTCAGTTTTGTTGCCGGGGGTTTGAAAAATGAACAAACTCCACCGACGGCGAAGCGAGAGCGTCGATGGCGTCGAGGCGCGAACGACAGAAATTGGAAAAGTAAGTATACGATCGTATAAAATCGACCGAAAGCTATTTCCTTTCGAGATCGGTTTGCAGATTTTATTCGTCGCGAAGCTGATTTATCTACCCCATCACAATCAGCAATCCTATTAGATTTAAAGAAGAAAATGTCAAAGTAAAATATTTCAATGTCCTTTCATTATATTTTTCTAAATAATTTTTAATTATGTAAATTCTTACAGATATTTTTTATAAATTTTGTAGATAATTATTATAAACAATATAATCTCTCTTTTTATAAAAGAATACATTTTGTTTGTAAATGCACTTTATTATATATTTTTCATATTTTTATTTCATTCTTTATTTTAGTTTTTATTTTATTTAATTATTTTTTATTTTATCTGAATGTTTTTAATTATTATTTCTTTATTCAAATCCTCACTGAAATCTCTACTAAAGTTGAAAGTAAAGGTAGGCTCTAAAAAAATCGATACGCCATGAAAATGTATTAAAAAATTATGAAAGCAGTTGAAAAGTAAGAGCATATCATTTAGCTGTGCAGGAGGAAAAAGGTCTTTCCCGAAGCATATTTTTAAGTGCTGCCGTTTATGTAGGTGCAATTTGATTAGTCGCGATTATACGCTTTTATTAATCGCGATCCTTTTATCGATCTCGATGGCGCCTTCTTCGTGCAAGTGACTTACACTCGGCGAAAGGCCGACATTTTATTAAACGAATAACGCGCGAGACCTGTTGCTCTTTATCGTGCTATTCTTTTTAAATTTTTAAATTTTTTTAACTTTTTATATATCTTTGACTGTTTATTTAATGCCTCTTGCATGATAAAAGATGAATACAGTTCTGTCTCTCATCTTTCTTTCTTATGTTACTTTATATTTCAGTTGTGCAATTTATTTTGTTCGTGTTATTTGATTTTATTTTGCTTTACTATTTGCTATTATATCACTCACATCACGCATATATACATATTTCGCAAAACAATTGTTTAAATAAAGAAAGTGCATTGAACTTGAAAGTATTTGTTCCGCAAGAACCAATGCAAATAATACCACCATTATCGGTTTTTTCGTCTGTTGAAAGCGGTCATAATTGGATTATCATCGATTTTTCTTCGAGTTTCGTCCCCCTTTTCCCTCTCGGAAAAATTAGCGTGAAACATTCAATAATTGCAATTAATTCACATCCTTCTACAGAAGGGATCGATAAGTGTCTCGTAGAGGACGAACTTAATTATTTATCCGGAAATTCTGACATTGGGGCAGAACATTTGTAATATTTAAAGGATTCAAGAGAACCAATGAAATTAAATGGATAAATAGCTTGATGTATTATACGACACATTTATCATACAAACAATTGAAATTTTCATCTTGATCCATTCATAACAAGCGGTCATAATTAATTATTTATAATTTTTTATGAAAGATGACGATTTTTATAAAAATTATGATATAATAATGATGTTTATATTTTAATAATTTTATATTTTTTAATAATTTTATATTTTTGTATTTTAATTAATAATGTGAATAGTTTAATAAAAATAAATAATTTAATTTTAATTAATAATAATTTTATTAAAAAATTGTGATTATAAAAATTTATAAAAAAGCTCCTGTTTTGCAATAAATTTATATGCGGGACTTTTTTTCGATGATACGCGATTATTCGCCAGCTATTAGCATGAACGACTCTTGCAGCGAATTTTAATCGTCGAATAAATATTTTACGCGATAACTGAAGTCGCGAATTCCAATTACGCGAGGAAGATTGAAGAGAGCAAACATTTTTTTCACCCACGATAATACAAAGATGATACTCGATAACATTCAATTCCAATCGATCAGCAAATTTCGAAGGAATTATGCGACGGGGATCAAAATAGAAAGGAAACAGACGATTTTAATCAAGCATCTTACAAATTTCACAGGTAAAAAAATAATAAACCTAATCTCAGCGCGTGCGTGCTCCTACTCTATTTTAATATATTCACGTTGGTTATACTTTAATATTAATTCAAAGCGCTGCTCTTGGTTTCAACGTCTTAATGGACGACAAACTTAGCGAGGTGCGAAACGCTTTCGAAATAACATAGGAAGATAATTTACGTAAACGTTAACTCTCGATATAAGCTCGCGCTTATGGTGTCAGACCGTGATACTTCTCAAGAATACTAATGAATAGACAGCACAATTAGAAGCAATATATATCCCATTAAACACCAAGTAACATTTATATAATCGTTAGTTGTCCATTATATTGTTGAGTGGGAAATTATAATTAACAGTCATATAACTGTTTTACTTATAATTTCCACTCAACAATATAACTGTTACATGTTATATAACTGTTATGTGTTAAATAATAATTATATTATTGAGTGGGAAATTATAACTAACAGTTATATAACTGTTAATTGGCGTTTGCTGAGATATATGCATATGTATGCCGACTTGATAGGAAAACGACAATCTATTAATTAACGACGTAACTCTTCGCAGAGTAAACGCAACTCTGCCGTTTACCGTCTTGCGGATCATTTGCATTCGCTAATTAACAATTATTCCCCAGCTGACACGAGGCGTGCTGTCATTGGCCTTTAGAGGCGTCGGCTGTCATCGCGAAGCCGTGTCGCTTTCCACGCGGGACCGCTAATAAATTACATCCGTACATCCTCCATCATCGGTCCCGATCTCTCTCTCTCTCTCTCTCTCTCTCTCTCTCTCTCTCTCTCTCTCTCTCTCTCTCTCTCTCTCTCTCTCTCTCTCTCTCTCTCTCTCTCTTTCTCAAATGCACCGGCACGTCCCTCGGCACGATGCACTTCAGCCGCTGCACTTTCACGGATCAAACCACTTAGGGCGGCTTCTCGCGGAACCGAAAAGCGTAGCCCGGATGGCTGCAATTTCGAAATTAAATTCGAAGCCCTGGAAGAGCTTCAAGGTGCAACAGCTTCGCGATGCGAAATAACGGCCCCTTCTAAACATTTTCCACCGTTATCTTCGAAAAAAAGCGTAATTTTTTACAAAACTATGTCACACTTATCTCCCATCTTCTTTTCAAGCGTACACATCATCATTATAATTAATTATCCGAGCCCCTCCCTCTTTCTCTCTATCCACGTACATTATTATATTCCACTTGATTATGTACATCATGTTACGCCCAAGTAATATAACAGTGTTTTGCAGTATTATTAATAATATTTAAATATTTATGCCATGTGTTAATTATCATAATGATATTTTTGATATCATTAATTAATATTAACAAATATATCATTATGGCAATAATATTAATAAAATTATTATAATATTGTATTGTCATATGTGAATAATAATGATAATTAATTTACGAAAAGATCGATGGACACTAAGTGTTTAAACGAGATAGTACATCGAGAATGTATATTTTGGGGCTCTTTTTACGATAGTAACACATGTTATTAAATACACGCGAGTCATGTTTATTTTTATATGCAGAATATTACGGTGCGCGAACTTTTCAGATATAAATAAGTCAAGGCGTACTCTTCCGAGTCGCAATATTCCATCATGGCTATAATGCATCAACTTTATTATTCATGCCCTGCATTAACGTATCGTTATCAATTTTCCACGTAAACTCGAACGAAGAGAAGTCGAGTGTGTATTATTGCTCCCCCCCCCTCTCTCTCTCTCTCCTTCTATCTGTCTCTTCCATCTCTCTTTCTTGAACTAGGTTTTCGATTTAATCAAAAATTCTGCACATATTTTGCGACCATCTAAAGTTTTAATTACGCTAATTACAAAACGTTAGTCCCGAATGGAATTCGCATGCCAAATACATAGACTTATCGCAGAGCGAAAAATCTTTTCGAAACTCTTTCGAAAACTCTTTGATGTGAATGTTAAAGAGATATTGGTCCTAATGTAAGTATTTATTATAAAGTCAAAATTATATATAAAAAAATTATATAAAATGAAAAATATATAACATTTTATATAAAATATTTAAAAGATATATATTATGAAATTATATTAAATATATAATATATAAAATATTTATATATCGTTAAATATATAATACATAAAATATTTATATATTATTAATATATAAAATATTTATATATTATTAAATATATAAAATACTTATATATTTATCTTATTAAATAAAAATATATAAAATAAAAATTGTATAAAAATTTATGTATAAATTATATATATGTATATAAATTATAAATTATGAATTCGTGAGTTTTATTAAGGACTCATTTTAATTAAAAGCTACTTTTTAATTTGAAATTAATGATTTTGAAGAAACACACGTTATCCAAAATTGTACAAAAAAATTTCTAAATATTACGAAAGAGATAGGGAGAGGCAGAATCTATCTTTTGTTCAGATTTTAATTTCGGTTTTCACGTTACAATTTACAATGGACGCGCGTCGCTGGCGGGCAAGCTCGCCGATGCGGCAATTTGTTCAGGGATCAGTATTGTCGTGAGGTGTGGAGGAAGGCTGTCGATATCCGGTATGTCAATTAATCCGACCGGTCGCGCGAGTCCCGGCAGATAAATAACGGCCTCCCGAAGAGGATGACACTTTTGTAATTCCCCGTCTAAAATATCCGAGGGGAAAAAGGGGGAAGGGAGGAAGAGGGGGGGGAGGAGAGATCACGCGCGTCCGATCTTATACATCCGATTTATCCGATGTCTCCGATAAGTCTACGAGCCGACGTCTCGTCCTTTGTTTGCCATGAAAGAGCGGCGCTTTGTTCGCAAGATTTCGCCCGCAATCAACGCGCAAACAGTCGCCCCTCCCCCACCATCATTCTGACGTCGTTATCGCTGCGAATTTCTGACGATAAAGAAACCGATGACAAAGCCCGCCTCAATCTTCGATAATTAAAAAGGAACGGATAAAGTGCGCCTACGTTCCAGAAAAATTAATCTAACCAGATTTAAATTTTATGTTGACATTTTGGAGATTCATTATTAGATCCTTCGAAAGTTCGGATTTTCAAATTTTTAATAAATTACAACATATTACTTAATTAAATGTGTACAATATACATATAATTGTCATTCTTTTTTTTTAATGAAAAAGGTATAAAATTTCTGTTAATATAAAATATTCTAAAGAATAAAGAATTTTCCTTTTGAATATTTAATATTAAATTGTCTTTCTTAAAAGATAATTTTTATTTTTAAATAATTTCTAGCTATTTGACGCGAAATTTGTCTCTAATCTTACATAAAAATATATTTATCCGCGATTAGGAAAAGCGCGCAGTGCATTCAATTGATTTATCCGCGCAACTAGCTGATAGCATCAGCTGATCTGATACGCGTGACGTATCGAAATTTTTAATCCCTGCAAAAAAATAATCGTATCAATGAAACAAAAAATATCGGAAAAAGGCCAAGTTTTATTCTAAAATTCTCCCAGTATTTCTATATTTTAAATGTAAAGTTCTAGACTTTTTATATTAAACTTTCATTTAAATTTTAAAAATTTCTTTATTATATGTTATTAATTATATAATTTATTATACACTTATTAATAACATAATTTATTATACACTTATTAATATAATTATATATTATTAATTTATTACATTTTATATATTTAAGTTATTTAAAAATATTTAATTAATATATATATTTAATTGTTTTATTTTTCAAACGTTTAAACTTCTGAAAAATTTTAACAGGGATATATAGGAAACTTAATAGATTAAAAATAAAAAACAAAATCTATTATTTCGTTTTAGATTGTCCTTAGGAACAGCTTGAACCGACATAAGGACCTCGTTCTAGTCTGTTTCGCATCGCATCGATCGTGACTGGCGGTACTAATCCCGAGGACTCCTCCGAGGCTCGTCATGCTGGTCCCCGAGGGCAATTTTACATCCTGGGTCGGCAACTGGACGACGATCCTGCACCAGGTGTCCTGCAACGACACCCTCGGTGGTTGCGCCGGCGAATGCGACACCATTTCTGGTGGATTCGATCATTTATGCACCACAATCGGGAGAGGAACCCTTACCTCCTCTTCGATGACTCTTTTTTGCACGCCCTGCGATTATGGTAGTTGCAACGTCAACATGTCCTTGCTGCTCGACAGCCTCGAAAGCATCGAGGGCGTCTTTCTGTCTAGGATACCGATGAGAAATTGCAACGCTACGTCCTTCGACGAGGAAGTAGGTTCTTAGAGAAGAAAGATGAGGCGTCGAAATTCAAGAGGGGCTTTAGATTCAAGGATTTTAAATTCGTATAATTAAACGTGCAAGAATTCGAAAATATTATGAAAGCAACATAAAATCGTTAGCATCTTTTTAAGAGAATTTTGAAACTAGAATATAAATTCTTCATAATTTTTAACTTTTTTTTGAACCTTCAAAATTCCCTTATAAATATAACTCGAACATTTAAGTATTTCAAAAATAAATATGATTAAACTTTCAAACTTTAATATTTATTTATTATTATCTAAATATTTATTTTATTCGAATTTCAAATTTAAAAATACTTGGATTTTTTAGTTTTTTTCCTTTTTGAAAGAAAGAAATTGAAAAATCTAAGATTATATATGATTTCATCATTCAAGAACGAAATTTTGTCTCTCAATCTTTGCTTCTCATTAATAACAGAGGAAACTTCAGAAAAATACCTTTAAATCTCGCGCAAACATGCTTGCAACATTTAAATTGTCTCCCTTAAGGCGACAAAACTTACTCGACCTTTGAGATTTTCAAAATGGGAGAGACGCGTAAAGATCTTCATTTCCAGCGATAATTCAAGCGTGGGACGTTTAGAAATTGTCGCCATTGATTTTGACACTTCTCCGCAGATTCCGACCATTCGTCTCGAAACGAAGGACCGGAGGGCGATACTTAAAGCCAAGTGTTTTTCCGCAGATCCTCGAGTGCTCGTCGGTCGGCGTCGTCGACGAGGATCTGGCCGTCTCCTGCGCGCATCGATCCAGGATCGGCACCACCGCCGGGACGAGGACGCGTCGCTTCGACTGGAGCTTCCTGTTCGTGGCGGTCTTCATAGCCGCCGGCGGTCTGGGCAACATATTGGTCTGCCTCGCCGTGGGCTTGGACCGGAGGCTCCACAACGTCACCAACTACTTCCTGTTGTCGCTGGCGGTCGCCGATCTCCTCGTCAGCCTCTTCGTCATGCCGCTGGGCGCCATACCGGGCTTCCTGGGTGAGAGATTCCTCTCTTATCTTCTATTTACTCATCCCCTTAATTTTCCGAGAATTCAAAGGGAAAGAATTCGGTTTCATCCCTCCCGTCGAACGACGCAAAAATGTAAATATCTTCGAGTATCTCGATCGGAATGAAGAGAAACGAAAATCTCTCGAATGAAGCAGAGTGGAATGGATGGTCGGAGAGAGGGAGAGGGGTGAGGGGGGATAGGGGGGGATGAATAAGAGAAGACAGGAATTTTTCCGCGGAATTTCACGGATTTTCCGCCGAGCGGAAACGACGCGTATCACCGACGCATCGAAGCGGAATTAACAAGGACTCGCGCGTGCGCGCGCGATCGGATTACGCGCGTAATACAACTCCGGACTTAAGATCCGTCGCGATGTGTACGACGCGGAAACGGGAGACGACACGCACGGAGGGTCAACCCTTTCCGGTCTCGTCTTCTTGCGAAGTATCTCATACGTGGCGCAGCCGGGTATATATTGCACCTATCTCGCGGTTATAATGTAGTTAATTAAGTGCGAGATTGCGTCATCGTCCTTGCAAATCGTTAATTTCGATTGTGACATCACGGCCGGGAAATTGAAACCTAATTTCAACACCGTTTCCAAAATTATCGATATGATTTATTAAAGAATTTAACTAAAATCATTTCATCAGCTGAGAGATCTTCTAATCATTGATTGTGATTGTTTCAGCTCATGATTTATTATTCCGAAGATAATAGTACTTAAGTTCGAAATTGCATCTACTCTCAAAGCGATGGTATAATTTGAAAGTTAAGGATCAAGTCGAGAATCGTTTTTACACCTTTAATCAGAAAAAAATCATTAATTTAATGATTTTTCATTAGCAAGGAGAAGATTATTTTATACAGCTGATTTTTTATGATTTTTTATCATTTTTAAATCTATAAAATATGTAATCTATAAAAAATCTAGCCTATAACATTTAATCTAAAGCGATGGTATAATTTGAAAGTTAAGGATCAAGTCCAGAATCATTTTTACACCTTTAATCATGAAAAAATAATTAATTTAATGATTTCTCATCAGCAAAGAAAAAATTATTTTATACTGCTGATTTTTTATGATTTTTTAAATCTGTAAAATATGTAAAAATCTATAAAACATCTAGCCATCTATAAAATTGAATCTATAAAAAATCTAATCAATCAATCTAATCAATCTATAAAAAAATTAATATTAAGTTTAAAATTATATATACCTTCAAAGCGATAGTATAATTTGGAGGTTAAGAATCAAGTCGAGAATCATTTTTACATTTTTATTAATCAGGAAAAATTCATTAATTTAATGACTTCTCATCAGCAAGAAGAAGATTATTTTATAGAGCTGATTTTTTATAAACGCATTAATCCATGATGAAGTTTTGCTAAATCTTGTATCTTTCTAGATTTACAAAGGATCAGTCGGCCGACCACCCCTTTTCCTTTTTTCCGCCCTATCCTTTTCTGCGCCGAGGAACGGCTTTATCCGCGGGTTTTCGCGTCACGTGCCCGCGTTCCATCCTTCACGTGGAACACGTCGACGACACGCGCGGCATTAGCGGGCTCATCGTCGTGGCTCGTTTATCTCGTGTACGAGACAGCTTTTGCTCCGCGACCTGGAAGGAGTAATTTCCAGGAGCGCGCATCGAGTCCTGGAGACGCGAAATCCGGTACGCGTGACGCGTCATTCGATTTCATCAAGTCGTTATTATGAAGCTGATACATTGAGGAAATTTTCCACCTCCCTTCTCGTCGATTCTATTATAAATGGCGTTGGAAAAATGACATCTCGCCCTGCGCGAGGATTTTCGCGAAATTCCCCCTCGACCGCAGGAAAAATATTTGCAGAAGCGATAATCTTCCCGAGTTTTTCCCTAAATCTCTTTCCTAGGCGAGTCTAGAGAGTGCGGTCGTTAAATTTAAAATGTCTGAATCTTTGACACTTTTAGATTTCGTAATCGCGGATTTAAATCCCAAATTTTTTTCCTGTTTGAGAAACTTTGGACTCGCGAACTTTAAAAATGTCGGAATCCGTAATGTCTGTCTCTTTTGTAAGGGAATTTCATTAGAATTTCGTTATTAGATTTCCTTCACCATACATACTTATACACGGAGGATGATTCGAAATGTTAGATTCCTCTGTTAATTCAAAAACGAAGATATCAGTATTGAAATTAATTATCGACGCTTCTTTATCCGGATGCAATGCAAGATTTTGTAACGTTTGTACAAGAAAAATATAAAGTTTTATTCAGCGAATATATTTAATATAATGAATGCGATTTTATTTAATAAAATAATAAAAATAAAATTGCAAATAAATAATAAAATTATAAAGATAGAGCTGCGATTTTGTATTAAATAAATATAGAAATATATATAAAATATGCTTGAATATTAAAATAATTTTACTGAAATATGATTATACATCAATCTTCTCTTTCTTCTCTTAAAGACTGATAAACAAGAATTAGCGCTTTGGCAATATTATGCCGAATAATTCTCGACGTCCTTGATCCGATTACAGAGTGTCGTGATTATGGCGCTAATTAATTCGCGTTTCGACTGAAATTGCGAGCAACGAAACACGCTGTGTGGCCATTAAGTACTTTCGAGTGTCCAATCTACGTCGGCTCGATGACAGCCTACAATTATCTTCATGATGACGCATCCTATCCGTCATAAATCCTAATGAAATTCTCGTCAAGCACGTCCTTAAACTTTCGGCACATTTAATTAAAAATCACTTTAATCATTAATTTAATACTGTATGAAACGACCTACAAAAAAAAGTATAAAGCTAGACGTTTTAAAATTCATAATTTTTTATAAAATCATACCATGTAATAATGTATAAAATGAAATACAAAATAATAATTACATAATGCAAAAATAATTAAAGAATTAAATAGTAAAAATTAAATAATTAAAAAATAAATTGAATAATGAAAAACAATTAAATAATGAAAAATAATTACAATTAATTGACCAATGAAAATAATTGAATAATAAATAATAATAATTAAATAATCAAATAATAAAAACAAAATAAAAATTGAATAAATGAATAATTAAAAAATAATTCAATAATTGAAAACAATAATAATAATAAATGAAATAATTGAATAATAAAAAATAATTTAATAATAATGATTTAAAATGTAACTAGATTTAAAGTGTAATTGCATTTCTATTACATTAACGATTATTATCGCATTTTTACTTTACTGATTATTTGTATCTAATTGATCGCGGTAAGAAAAAAAAAGAGTAGCAGAGCAAAGAGCATCGGTCAGCATTCGCTGGAGAACGCGCTAAAATCAGCGAAGAACCGAATAAAGCTCGCAACTTTTTTCCTTCCACTCTCGTTACACTCGTTAAGCCGCGCGGTTCATTGCCGACGTTTGTTCTCATACATTTCTGTCGGATATAGATGACTGAAAAGTGCGAGCACCTTGTTAAAAGAGATGGGCGCACCGGCGCGTGGCAAGTGCCTTTGCGGAGCCGAAAATTGGCAAACTCGCCGTCCCTGAACAATACGAGTGTTTCGTATTCAGCAACGTTTTCGCATCTTCACGCGCGAATTATCGGGGGAGGGGGAAGCCGCCCCCTCGCTCCCACCCCTTCTTTACATTCTAATTTCTTTCTGACCAATTCTTTTCCGCTTCCGCGAAAAATCTCATAGTTTCGAGGCGACTAATTCGCTAAACTTTCCCTTTGAAAACGAAAGAAAACATAGTATATGGAATTGATAACAATAATAATAATAATAATTGGAGTGTCTCTCTATCTCTCTCTCTCTTTGCGAATTATTTAAATTGAATAATATGATTCGCGCAAATCTCTGCGATGCGGAGAGAAAAAGGGATTTTTAACGAGACAACTTTTTTTTATCGAGAGGAAGAAGTTTAATAAAAATTAATTTTTTATTTAAACTTTTTTTCTCGACTTTTTATTCGTGTTTCTCTTTTTTCCCTCGTTTATATTTCAAGTTCTCGAATTTTATTCCTGTCCTTTCTACGTTTCTCCTGCGTGTACTTAACGTCTTTATTGCCGCGTGTATGTTCATCAAGGCGTGCTTCAATCTGTTACTAATGAAATTCCTCGCACCGTAGTCTTTCCGAGAAGATCTTAATATAATGCGACTATATGCAAATTTTTTACTATGCGCCCTCAGAAATTCTACGCTCCTCGTCTCAATTTTCACAATGAGTGCGATGCACGACGCGTAATTAGGTTAATTATTTTGTATAATCAAATTATAATATTCGAGATAAGGGACTGATTAGAAGAAGATGCTACACTTCAAGTTACCCATCTTCTTCATTCGATTTTGTTAAATATCAATTATACTGAACAATAATAATTAAAATTATTAAAATTTGCGAATTATGGCAGATGAAAATGAGAGATATTGTAAAACAGAATAATAATAAATAATCTTTAAATCAGGATTTGCAATCGGCAATGATCGCAAATGATTATTTTAATCTGCGACCAAGGATTTTTAATTAATTACAGACACGTATTTATTAATCATCGAGTTCGACTTAATCGTATTGCTTTATCTTTGCTTCGCAAATCGTCTGTTTGAAGAATCTATCATCGTACGATATAGTCGCTCGCTGTTTGCTTAATCCTTGGAATAATATTGGGTTCGTTGCATACGAAATATTGAATTCCGAAAGTTCCAGCTTTATGGCTCTTACTAAATAAACATTCTACGGTAATCAAATATCACGAGAAGTGACGAAATGATACAGATTTTTTGCGGAAACATTCATCGATTTTTGCAAAATGTCTTTTTCTTAAATTACGGCAGATTTATTTATTAAAAATGTTGTGTAAAAAATGTTTTGTATTTATATTTTTTCTTAAAAATAATCATGTTCTTTTTTCACGTCAACTGATTCGTCCCATTATTTCGTGTATAAAAATATTGATAATTAAAAACTGAATATTTTACTAAATATTTCATAGTTTATTAAAAATTATGTTGAATTAAAATATAAAATATCTCGTAAATTATACATATATATTTAATTAAATAATAAATTTAATTTAATATTAATTTAATTTTTTATCCTATTCTTATAATTTTTTACGCCAAATTTTTATGAAAAATCGATTTCTATAAAAAAAAATTATGATGGTCTCATGTGAAAAAAAACTAGGTCGATGTTCAAATTTCTAAAATACTTCTATTTATAAAAAGAATAAATGCACTACTATATAATAATGTCCTTGAAATTATGCATCTTTTACTTATGTAACAACTTTCATAATAATATTATATATATTTTAATAATATATATTTTATAATACATATGATTTATACAAGTTATTCGATATTAAATTCACCCCGTATATATATATTTTTTAAAATTCTTTATTTATTTATTTATTTATAATTTTCTTGCTCTTGACGGACAATTAGAAGGAAATGAAATAAATAGATATTTTGCAAGAAAATTACAGATTGATTGGAGTATCTATAAATTCCTGCGAGAAAGAAACAAATTCGGATTTTTGAGATCGCTATTATTCATCGATTACAGCCTCGGTGTCGATACGTTTTCGACCGCGAATGTTTGAAGCGACAAAAATATACCGTCGACTGAGAGAATCTGCCCGTGCAAAGTGACGGTTTGTGTAAATGCATTTCCGACATTTGACGTCGTTTGATGTGATCCCATTCATCGCATCACGCGGCTGCATCGTGACGCGTTCCACAGCTGCGTCCCTGCCCTCCATTCGTACGCTACAATAAGGACTCTCTATTCTTTCAAGTTATTTTTCCATTAGTCTCTTGAACGAGAAGAACGTACGTCGGGAACGTCAAAAATGCTCGTCGAAGGCCAAAAAATTCGATAACGGATATATCGTGATATCGATGTATCCGAATCCTTTCTCGTCGCATATCCTGTAAATGGATACCCCGCGCAAAAAGACCGCGCGCGGGGGATTCGCTATTAATTAATCCTTTCTTTTGACATTTTTCGCACACGGAGGTATTCCAGGAAAATTAGAGAAATTATCAAGATATTTGATTCGTTTAATTAGAAAATTTTGCAAGAAAACAGGTCGTTATGTTAATTCAAGTGAAAAATAAATCATCTGGAACAAAATTATCGTCTCTCGCGAGTAATTATTCTAAATATTATTCCAATTATTGATTCTTCCGATTCGACAACTTCGATTCGAGGTACGATTGAAATTTGATAAAGCTCAAGTTTCTTTTTAATGATGTTTTTTAACCAATTTTTTTTCTTAACGAAACTCGGTAAAATTTTATTTTTGCTGCTGGTGCACCGTTACATGTAAAACTTCGCAGTCCTCTTTTCATAAATTAGTAACCGATGTCTTTCATACATTAGATAGATTCTCTGCCTGTCAATAATTATTATATACAATATTTTATATTTTCAATTTTTAATTTATTACATTAATTAATTTAATATTAATTAATTAATATTAATATTATTATTAATATTAATTAATTATATTATTATTAATATTAATTATTTTATTTAATTAATTAATGTAATATGGATTAATTTATTATATTTATTATTTTATATTTTCAATTTTATTATATACAATAAAACTTTGCTTTTACATTTAATTATTTATATGAGGAAATAAAACAACTTGCAAGCGTGAACTTCATTTCCCGAAGAGAAGGAACCTTTTAGATTCACCGCGAATGATAGATGATCCAAAATGACCGATCATCTCACGAATCTTGACCTTCGAAAAGCTCGAGCCCCTTGAACTTTTCATGAACTTTTCAGGATATTGGCCGTTCGGGGTGGTGTGGTGCAACGTTTACGTGACATGCGACGTGCTCGCGTGTTCGGCGAGCATAATGCACATGTGTTTCATCTCCCTGGGCCGTTATCTGGGCATCCGTAATCCGCTCAGGACACGACACACGTCTACGAAGCGGGTGGTGGGCTTCAAGATCGCCGCTGTCTGGCTGCTGGCCATGCTGGTCTCCAGCTCCATCACGGTGTTGGGTAAATTATTATTACATCCTTCCATCTCTCCCCCTTCTCCCCCCTACTCGCTTTCCGCCCGTTTCCTCTCTCTTTCAGAGAGAGGATGTAAATATGCCTCGATATGGACCGGCACGTATTTTGTAAAGCGGGCTAAAACGAAGGCGCAAACAAACCCGAAAGAGAGCCGCTCTGTACGAGAAATGGGAATTGCATTTCTGTGCGTTTGTTTGATTGTTTGCCCATTTATAGAGTATACACAACTCCTTTTATCCCGGATAATTCTATTCTACGGGAATTTAGGGCGAATCGCTGCCACGCAGTCGTGTTTATCCATTAATCTTCACTTTGCGGTGATAAAGGGACTCCTTTGAGGATCCGTATTTTTCCACATTTTTGAGAGAAATATGAGGAGCAGATGCGAGAGAGATATCTCGAGGAGAGACGTCGCTTTTTGCGAGACTCTCGCTAGAGATAAAGCGCGAAAAAGCGGTGACGCGACGCCGCATAATGCATATTTATCGACGTAATGCACATTTGTCATTATTAACGCGCGATTTTTAGATCGCCCTACATCGACAATGGCTCCTCCCGCCTTCGCCGTCTCCCATTATGCAAATAAATCGATGGAAATTCTGATTAGCCGAGTTACACAAATTTCGCTGCCTTTACTAAAGCCCTACAACATATCCTCTCGAGAAAGTCGATTACGTAAAGTTAATCAAGCCCTATTCAAGGGCAATTATATTCTCGATAATAATTTTCCCTTTGACGAGAACGTATCGCGTTGCAATTTCAAAACAGACTTCGGAAGAGTCAATTCCTCGAGAAAATAATTCTCAAAAATAAGATGGAGCGAGAAAAATGTGATTCGAGCGAGGGTGTCGCGCCCCTTCCGCTCAGCTTGACGGATAATCGAGAGCTAATCTAGGATCCACAGCTAATCAGAGAAAAGGCTAATCGAGATATCGAATGGCAAGGATCTCGTTGTTTCAGGCATCATCAACCCCTCGAACATCATGCCGCGTCCGAGGGTGTGCGTTATCAATAACCGAGCGTTCTTCGTGTTCGGTTCCCTGATCGCCTTCTACATCCCCATGATCGTTATGGTTGCGACTTACGTGTTGACGGTGCAGCTGTTGCGCAAGAAGGCGCGATTCGCGGCCATACATCCAGAGGGAGATCAGTTTCGCCGATTGGGCGGTAGATACGCGTCCGCAAAAACATCATCATCGACGGCGTCGTCGTCGTCCACCGCAATCGCCACCGCGAGATCGTCCTCCACCTCCGCGAGACTGATCCGCACTTCCGGTTGCAACGCTGAAAGGGAAAGGTGAGAATTAGATCCAGTCATAAAATGAATAACGCAATAATAATGATAACAAATTTGAAATTATATTTTAATTAATTTATGTAACATAATTATATAATAAATATTAATTAATAAATATATTTCCGTAATATACCTTGGAATTTATATATTAATATAATATATATTCATGAATTTATAATATTAATTAATTAATATATAAGATAATTAATTATTATATAATTTATGATTATACATAATTATTAATATATTCATTAATTATTATATTATATTATTAATTATTAATTTTAATAATTATTAGATATATTTATTAATTATATACATTTATGTAAAATTTATATATGTAACATAATATAATTTATATAAACATAATTCTTAATTATAAAAATATATAAGAACACAGAATGAGTTTGTATGCGCGAAAATAGAGAAAATGAAGAATACACTAAAGAAACTTGTACGTAAATTGAACAATCATGAGATCGCTTTCACACGTCTATTCTTTTACATTAAAAAATTATGTCTGATTGAGCGAGATAAAACGATTTATAATTGAGGACAAAGTAAGATTGAGACTGTAACATTTATTTCCGCGGGTTGAATCGAATCATCTATCAAATTGCGCTTTTATCGCGCGACTTTACGCAAGCCGTGCAATACTTGTGATATCGAATGACGATTTATGAGTCTATGCAAATTAAATCGACCATCTGAACTTTCTTCATCAACTCGTCAATTTTTATCGTAATTTTTTATTCGACTGGCACACGAACGTAGACATTGTCACATTCCTGTTGATGCAAAAATTATAGAGATAAAGGTATTTCATTGTCACAAAATTTATATTAATTAGAAAGTAATTATGGAAAGACATAAAAGTATTTTTTTTTTTATTTCTACTTTTTTTATATTTTGTTATTCTATTTTTAATATTGATTAATTTTTTAGATACAATATAAAAAGATTTATATCAATTTTTGGACTCCATATAAAGAGATTTATATCAATTAAAGCAATTGTAGGAAATAGTATAATGGAAACGTTTCTCTCTCTTTCATGTTTTTTGAGAACGAACGGAAATGTGATAGTTTTCGAGGGATTTAGAACATTTTGGTTTAATTGTCGGGACAGCGACAAATGCGGAGGCGTGAGAAGAGTCCTGCCGCATCTGAAGTTAACGGTAAACGGCGCCGGAAGTCCTGCCACAGGATCACGACCCAGGTCGAAAGTGGATCAGGCGACCCAAACGCCGGAGAACATCGCGCGCGAAACACGGAACTTCACCCTCAGGGCTCTGAAGTTGCAATTGAACGTCACGCCCAACACCCTGAATCTCAGGTATCGAGTTCTCTCTCGCGAGAAGAGAAAGGAAAACGGCGGATATTCCACGCGATAAAAATCCCACGTCTTTTCCCTTCAAGATCGACGTCCTTTCAGGTTCCTGGCGGGACGATCGAAGAAGAGATCCCTGGCCGCGAACGCGGTCGCGACGGAACAGAAGGCGAGCAAGGTCCTGGGCCTGGTGTTCTTCACGTTCGTCCTGTGCTGGGCGCCATTCTTTCTGCTTAACATCTTCTTCGCCGCGTGTCCCACGTGTCCTGTGCCGGGACACGTGGTAGACACGTTCCTCTGGCTGGGCTACGTGTCCTCGACAATCAACCCGATTATTTATACCATTTTCAATAGGACTTTCCGCGCCGCGTTCATTCGCTTGTTGAAGTGCAAGTGCTCGAGGTATAATCCGATTATTCATTTCTCTGTGCAAAATATCTCGTCAGTTTTGCAATACAATGTAAATTTATATTATATCTTAATTTTCCGATTGTTGTTTTAATTTTAATTTTAATTTTTTTTTTCAGTATCTCAACAATTTTATTATTATTTTAACTTGACTTGTTTCATTTTATTATTTTTAATAGGTTCATTAAATTTCGTGAAAAAAATAGAAAAATGATATTAACTTGAAGAATCAACATATATTGAATTTACATCAAATAATAATTTAGAGAGAATTTTTGTTATTACTTGTAATAATTTAGATCTAACCTTCTCCATGTTTATATTTTGTTTCTTTTTAAATTATTATTATATTCTTTCTAATATATTTCTAATAAAATAATAATCTTGAAGTTCTTGAAGTTCTAATATTATTTCAATTTCTAATTTGTTTTTTTTTTTATTTGATTTTGTCACAATATTGAATTACATCTCTAAGGAGAGCATATAATTTTCAGAAAATCTGCATTTAATTATCTCCCTCTCTTTCTCTTTCTACATTTCTCTCCGGTTAAACTTTTCAAAGTATTATATAAATGAGAATTCTAATTAGAAATTATACGCTTCTTGAAAATGAAATTAAGCATCGTAATAAAATAAAATAAAAAAAAAACTACGTTAGAAATTTAAATATAGTATTAAAATTTAAAATTTTAAAATTATTATTCTTTTATTAAAAATATATCGAATGCAATGATAACAATATAACGAAATAAAACAAAATATAACCGTCTGTGAAGACTTTATGGAAAAAATTTAATAAAAAAAATTTCCATTTTTATATATATTTAATAAAAATCATCCATTTAGGTCCGCGAGGCCTTCGAGATATCGTTTCGTTACGGAAACCGGAAGGGGGGCGATGGGTCTGTGCACATCGGGCGCTCTTCCACTGGCCATCAGCCTTCAGGGTACACCTTTATTAAGCCCGACGCCAAATCCGACGCCAACACCGGCGTCGGAAAGCTCGTTCATGACGATGATGCATCGTACGCCGAGTTCGCTCTACCGGGATACCTTTTTAATTCACGAACCTGATCAGGGCGGCCATTAACCTCGTCCATTAATTAACTAATTTCGCAATGAGTGATTATACTGCACGAGGCTGAGTTTTGCAGCCAGAAGATTTCAATTTAAAAAAAAAGATTGTGCACAAATAAATTTTATTCTATAAGTTAATATGGAATTGTTCCTTAAAGAAAGTATTTATATATTTTTTAGTTTACATGTCTTTAGTTTTTTCTTTTAAACTAAACTCGTATGGTTGAAAGTAACCGAAAGACTCTTCAAACTAATTAAAATTTATTCAAGAGACGATGGAGACGAAAGAAATTTTCCAAGTTTGTTACGAAAAGAACCGGGAATTTTGTTAAATATTTGAGTTTTGTTTAAAGTCCTTTAATAAGTAAGTATTACAACTCTCTCAATTTTAAGAATCCATGTATATGAAAGGTAAAATAAAACAATACTACTATTTTAGCACAAGCTCCCTTATTTGACCTAACATGTGAATTCTTTTCCCGCAATTCCAATTTATTCTTTTTTAATGTAATGTAAAAAAGGCAATAAAAATCACAAGTTTCTTTTCATAGAAAAAATTAGACTTAGTCTTTTAATAAACGAATTTTTAATCATTAATTTTAGATATCTTTAAAATATTAAAAAATTAAGATAAAATTAAATATTTTATACACAGGCTTTGATATCTTTCTGCATCTCTCACAGTCAATTTATTAAGTCGTATAATACTTTTAATTAGAATAAATTAAAATAAATTAGGCTCCATTAATCATCTTTTTAGACAAATAGCAAACTTTATTTTAAAAAACATATAAAATGCAATATCAAGACTGCCATCTAACGAAATTTTCCGAAAAACAAGATCCTCTTCAACTGATTTCTCTCGATATTTTGGTGTATCTTGCCAGCCAGATAAAATTCACTTCAATCTTATCAACGCGAGGACAATCTTCTCTCGCATTTATCCTCGGTAGGAGACTCTCGCTTGCTGGATTTGATTGAATTCACGAAATAAACCCTTCAACAGGCTGGTATACCCTTAAAGGGATTTCGATGATAAACAGAAGCAACAGTATTCTGCTCTTTACAGGTTCCGCGAGATGACGACAGCAACATGGAATCCTCTCGCGTTTGCAGTTTCTAGGAGGCAATATTTATCGGCGATGAAAATGGCTCGCCGATAAGGGAGGAGAATTATCCATCATCCCCTGTTTGTCCAGTTCATGACCTAATTGCTTAAAAAAGATTCTTCCGGCCGATCGGAAAAATAACGATTTGATTGACGCATCGGTATCGACACATCGACATCGAAACATCAATTAAAGCTTCATTTTCAGAACGTTTTCGGATTTAAGTTTGAAAAGTGTCTTAAATTTTATGTTAAGATATTTAATTTTTTTTAAATATAATAAAAAAGTTTTTTATAATCCAAATTTATTATAGATATTTTAGATATTTTCTGTAATTAATATTTGAGTTAAGATTTTTTATTGAAATTTCAAATATAAATATAAAAAGAAAAAGGACTCACATATCGGGTAAGATAATGGAGTTTGTACAATAGTATTGTTTTATTTTGTCTTTCGTATACACGGATATTTTTCATATGAAGAAAAAAAATCGAGCCCATATAAACAAATCCTATAAATTAAAAAGTTGGAAACGTAATATCTCACAAATATTATTTCTTTTTTAATTTTTATTTTAAATTTCAATAAAATTTTAATTCAAATATTAATCACGGAAAAATGTAACAATATATCTAACAATAAATTTCTATTGTAAATAAAAGACATTTTTTATTATATTTCAAAATAAATTTATATAACCTGATATTAAATGTATTAAAAAATATTAATGTTCATTTAATGGAAATTTAATTGCATGTGTATAAACGTCGAGAAATTTAAATACAAATTATCTTGAAATATATTTAAAGCGGCATATTAAAAAATTGCATGAATAATGTTTCTATTCCCGTCTTCTCGCTTTCGGCCCACCTGGCAAGTTCCTAGCTTGTTGACGGCAGCTGTTCGACCTAGTTAGCGTGCAAGAATAAGACGAACGATTATTATAATCCGTAGTCGGGAGCGTAATTGAGTTGGAAAGAATTTTCATTTGTCGATTCGACAACATAGTTGGATTATTCGCCGCGGATACTCGCCGTTGGATTATTTCGCGAGGCGAAGTTTGCGCCGTCTTTGGCTTTGTGGAAACCAGTTTGCGGAAATCGTTGTAATTATATTTGATGGGAAACGTAAGCCAAGAATAATAGAATTATCCTTGTTAAAGAGACAAGACAAATAGAGAAATTAAAATCAAGGAAAAGGATAAGAACGAGAGAAAAGAAATTTAATGAGCTTAATTTGAATGAATAGAGCAAGATAAAAATTATTAATAAGAAATCTCTCTTTCAGTTAAAAATTTGGATTTCAACGAAAACAAACTTGTTTTTTTTTTTTTCGAGGCTAATAATTCGATATTTAAATTTTAAAAAAAACGCGCTAAATAAAGAAGTCCGCAAACATTTTTTCAATGCACAAAACTCAATTTTGGTTTATATTTCCGTATATCGAGAGTGCAATTTCGCAATTTCCGACAATACTTCAAAAATTGAAAGATAAGCCCGATATTAATATGAATTTCTCGAAATGGAAATTTCGAAAAATAGGATTTACAACACGGAATTTATCGGCGTTTGTGCAAAAGGTCGGAAAAATTCAGCCGTAATCCATCCGGAAATTCGTCTGTTGGAACGAATACCTCTCGGGGCTCCCTTTCCCGCTGTCCCACCCGCTGATTTTATTCCTTCATTAGGCTCATGTAATTAGGGTAAAAGCACCCCGGCCTTTGCGCGCAGAACAAACAGCTCTACATGAAAGCCGGAACGACCTAAATGTATTTGAGAATATCATCGCGCTAATGCGAATCTTATGAGTTTCAATAAAAACTCGAGAGCAGACGAGTTTGATTGACACGCCGAACTCACCGAAGATTGGAGATTGAAAAAAAAATGCCATAAGCTCACGTTTTGCACGACATCGAAATAATGCAATTCGATGCGATATATAATTTTTATGTTACTGTATAAAATTATATGTAATTAGCTTGGAAAATTAAAAGAGAAAAAGCCCTTTCAAGTTTCTTCAACAATTATTATAATTACTATAATTCTATAATTTTTTATTATATAATTATATAATTTCTTTTATATAATTATATATCATATTATAGTATATAATATTAATTAAGAGTCCTTTCTCTTGAAAATATTTTATAATTATTGAATAAAATTATATAATTGTATTTTATTTTATTTAACAATTATTATAAAAATATTTTCAAAAAAGGATTTAAAATATAAAAACTTCAGATTCTAATAATTCTCTGAGAGAGGTATCATCGTAATTAAAGTTTATATCTGATGCAAAAAATGCGCGTTTATAAAATATAGAAATATAGAAGAATATAAAATATAATATTTATATAATACATAATTTTTTTTATATGCATAAATATATAAATGCAAAAATCCAATTTTACGTTCGATAGGGAACACGTCCAGGAATCCATCATCCGCATGCTTATGCAAACGTTGAGCGCGTCTTCCGAGTTCCACACAATACATTTCTCGCGCGTCTGCCGCGAAATTCATCGAATTGTTCGGCGGTGATGACGGTTCCGTGCGCGTAATGCACGTAAGTAAGTTTAACGCTTTCCGGAGCAGATGGTGTAACAGCGGGACACGGTACCTGCATTATAGCGTCGGTGTCGCAATTTGCAACCTGCGATTCCCGTCCTTCGTCGCGAGAATCCCGCTCGTGGGAAGATAATGGGAAACAGCTCCCATTTTTGAAAATTTTATTAAAAAGTTGAACGTTAATGAAATGAGAGGACGTTCATTTTCGTTGCAATTGCATCGTTACAAGGAAATGTTAATAGTCAAATAATTCGTGGTATATGAAAATTATTAAATAAAATAAAATTATATTTAATTTTATTTAATAATTATTATAAAAATATTTTTAAAAAAGGATTTAAAATACACAAAATTCAGATTCTAATAATACTGAGAGGTATCATCGTAAAGTTTATGAGAAATATTGTTTATGAGAAATATTGTTTATGAGTTTATGAGAAATATTGTTGTGTATAAGAAATTTTGAAATTAAAATTTCTTTAATTAAAGGATATTATGCTTAATTTTTTATATTTAATTATTACAAATTAATTAATTTAATTATTACAATTATTAACAATTTTTATTGAATTTCTCACATATAAGATTAAACGAAAGTAAACTTTAAATGATATATAATCAACTTTTATTTAGATTTTGGATGGGATCCTTGAAAGAAGATGAGGAGAAGTCGATATATATGTTTCTTCGATTAAATATTTTTTATTTTTGCGTTGTTTATTAATCATAATTCTTTTTCATAATAAAGAAGTCTTCTTCTCCTGAAAGAAACGTCATATTATGTTAATAACATCGAATACAGTAGCATAATTTGCACGTACCTAACGATCTTTTTATAATTTAACGTCACGCACTCTGTCACATATAGAGCGGCGAGGGCCGTCCTCTGAAATTACGTGAACTGGTAACATAAGCTGCTTCGTAAATGTGGCATGGAATCGACAAACCAGCACCAGAATCTCTAATACTAGTCTTCGTAACGGGGTGCATTATTCTGCTCGTGCATTTCGACTTGCAATATTTTAAACTGTTAAAGACACACGGATGAACCGTTTTCGTGCTCCGTATAACAAAAGCCGTCGTCGCAAATGGTTTATTATAGTCGACAGAACTCTTCTAGATACCTATATCATGCCTTTCAATAATCTGAAACATCGAAGAACGTCAAATCGTAATTTAATTTTAGCTTATGTCAAGATGTAGGGATTTAATAAATCGATTTTTTTAACGCGAATCAATATTCTTATAAAACTTGCTAATTTAATACAAAAAAAATTTCTAACATCTAATTTATATTTAACTTGTAATTTTAATTTTTATTTGTAGTAACATTTATATGTTTCTGTGAATTTACTCCTTCGGAATTATATTCCGATTCAAACATGACAATTAAATCTCCGTTTTTCTTTGTTTCTTTATTATTTAATCTTTCACAAACTCATCATCAGACTTCCATTGTATTAAAAAGAGCGGGAAGAAAGAACGTTATATCTTTTACCTCCATCTCGGGTTGTATAAAAAAATCTGCGGGTTGAATTAAACTCTCCATAGAATTTATCTTATATTTTTAAATGCGTTTGAGATGGAAGCTTTTAAAAAAATACGAAGCAAAAAAAAAAGAATGTCTTGAATGTTTCAAAAAATTTAATTTCTAGTATGTATTTACGCTTAAGAACATATTCTCGAATAAAAAACAATTCTACATATCGAATATTAAAATATATATTAAATGCAAAGAGATGAAATATATCGCATACTTTACTACAACGTTCGAATATTTTTGTAATATGATAAATACATAAAAAAAAATTTTATTAATAATTTTTGTAAATGTTGCAATATTTTATAAAAGTATATATAATATTTTTAAGTTAATATTTATTTATATTTTAGTGTCTCAATATATAAAATAAAAATCTTCAATTGTATTAAGATCAATTTAAAAAATATATATATATTATTTTTTACGTTAATAAAGAAATAATTAAAATAATACACGTTAATACAAGATGTACGAATAGTTCGGATCTTACTTACTGTATCATGGAAGCAAACATGCCGGGAAGAAGAAATATTAAAATGTCGACAAAGAAAAAATAAAAGATATAAATGAAAGTAAATCCAAGGAGATCAAAATCGATCCGAGCAAATACATCCGAATTAAATATTCAAGTAAATAATGCTTTTCGACAAGCGAAATTTAAATTACTATTACCTTTTGACTCACATTCTCCCGTGTCTGAATTTTTCGCGTATCCATCTTTACACCAACATATTGGCTGATGATTACGTATTGTATATTCTTCGTTAGTTCCACAAGTAATGTTATCGCAACCGTCTTCAAATAAATTTAGTACAATTAGCAACAATTAAAAAATAATAATGTATAACTTATATTTAATATTTACTTCCGGATTTCACACACGCTTGCAAAGATGAGTCTATTTTGTATTCGTCTTTACAGTGGCATATCGGATTATTATACATCTTACATTATACATCTTACACTTCTCGTTAGTTCCGCAAGTAACGTTATCGCAATCATCTTGAAATAAATTTAATAATTAGAAACAATTGAATAATACAAATTTACTTAACGTTTACCTCTTTTGTCCTTCACACATATCGTATCTGAGTTTCTTTTATAACCATCTTTACACAAGCAGGTCGTTCCATCATTATACATTTTACATTTTTCATTAGTTCCGCAAGTAATACCATTGCAATCGTCTTCAAGTAAATTTAGTATAATTAGCAACAAAAAATAATAATGTATAACTTATATTTAATATTTACTTCCGGATTTCACACACTGTGAATATAAGTCTGTTTTGTATCCGTCTTTACAGTGGCATATCGGATGATTATTATACATCTTACACTTCTCGTTAGTTCTGCAAGTAACGTCATCGCAATCATCTTTAAGTAAATTTATTAATTATCAAATTCCCGGGTAGTATGTATTTGTTTAGCTCAATAATCAAGAAAAAGATGCCAAAGTATTCAGCGACCAAGTGGAAAATAATACTGCGATAAAAAACTTTCAAATTTTTTTTAATATCATTTACACATTTATTTTTTCAAAACTATAACAGCTTAAAAATATATTATTGTGTTAAAATATTATAAAAATAAATGTTATAAAATTATATTAAAATATATTATAAAATTAAAATATTAAAATATTATAAAATATTATGCTATAAAATATTAAAAAATATTAAAGCAAAATTTCAAAATATTAACGGAACTATATATTTTCAGTTTGTAAAACATTCATGTATATCCTTTATTTCGGCACAATATATAAATTAAATCTCTATAATCCCTTTAATCTTGAAGATTCGTCTTTGTCAGTGTGTCTTACAGAAAATCGATCTATCGCGTTTAAAATTCGAGACAAGCTTTGTTACTATTTCAGAAAGTTTCACAATTCGTCAATGTCGCGTTTAAAACTAAATATTTTGAAAGAATAGACAAAGTATTAATATTAAAATAAATAATTATAAATTATACAAAATTTAGTAAAAAATATTATAAAAAAGAAGTATTGAGAAAAAGGATGATAGAAAGAGAAAATAGCTTTTGAAATGATACTCTTATATTTTAAAGAAATAGAAATATTTATTTCTTTTGATTTTAAATCAATCTTTCTCGAGTCGCGAATACAATTAACAAATATTTAAAAGAAAACGTGAATTTATTTTTTACTCAAATATAATATAAATATTTTTCAAAAATCTTCAAAGAATGCATTTTTTTAATTCACAATAAAAAGTTCTGAAATAATAATTTTTGCATAAAAAGTTCCAAGAGGATATTTACATTTTTAGATCATACGTTGCGTTCTTGCACTTACCATATGTATATATGCCGTTAATCACCACAAATATCACGAGAAGAGACAATATCGGAACTGCGGATTGCATCTTGTTGCGGTTATAATTGTCTGTCAACAGTTAAGAAAATCTTGATGAAAGAATAAACGAATAAAATTTGGAAAAATAAAATATTGAACAAAAGTAACATTCTTTCACGAAATGTACGTTATAATAAGAAATGTTTTATTTTAAAAAACAAAAAAAAGCATCTTGCACAGAAAGATTATGCAATTTTTGTTAGAAGAAAAAGAAATGACTTGTGAAAATGATTTACCGTGATATTAGCGAATTTGTCTTCGATGAAAAGTCGGTAAAGACTGACGAGTTATAAAGTTTTGCAAACACCATTTATATTAACAGCCGAGCCAATAGTAAAAATAGATAAAAAAACGCAATAGTAAAAATAGATAAAACAAAAATGGTGTGTTTTTGAAGTATATATATTATACTTAATACAAAATGTACTAGATGTTTCAAGTTTCTCGTCTTTTTATACATATATATGATACTTTAACTATATATTTATTTATACGCGTTCAAACTTTTACGAAACTTTTATAATCTGCAATGATACGTTTCTCAACTTTGATTGAAAAAGTCAAATACTTATGTAAAAATATGTAAAAATAAATGATATATTTCTCTACACATTCGGATTACAAAAAAAATATCCATTTAATGCTCTTACAAAATTCATCTCCTCGTGTTAATGTCCCTTTTTTACTTTTTCACGTCCATTCTTCGAAGAAAAAATGTTTTTAAAAAGATAAGTAAGCTCTTTCAGTATCTTGTGGAATATTAAAACATCGATGGAATCTATAAAAACTAAAATCAATAAGATTTTAAAAATAAAGAAAAATCGGAAATAAATTTATCTCTCGAAAGATTAAATTTATCTCTCAGAAAATCTAAATTTATATATCTCTTTTTATACTAGTGATTTGTTTTGGTCTTTGTATACATGACCTAAAAACTTATATAAGGAACAGGTATTCGTGACGTCTGGTGCATGTTAAAACAATTGCACAATATTGTGAAATTATAGATAAAAATATAACGATATACAGATATCGCAAAATAATAGGTTCAAATTATCGCTGACGAATGCTGTATTTATGCTCTTTATATATTTTCAGCGATAAGTTCAAAAATTAAAATAATGATGCTCTTTACGAACTCATTATTCGATTTTGAGTATGCATTATTAAATGCGTTGTACGATATATTTGTTGATAATAACTAGTAGCTCTCTAAATAGCATAAAATAATCGCAGGAAAATAGAAAATAACGTACAAATACATACCTTTTATATTAAAGTTTCAAGATAAACTTTACAAAATACTCCAATTATATATAATCCCTCCGATAAGCGACATTCTCTTATCTTTTTTTTATGTGAGTAAAATAATTTTAATGCGTTTACATTGTAAGGACATTCGATAAGTATGTATTATTGAGCATGACGTAATGCAGTAATTGTAACGGTAATTTTATGAAGTCATTAATTATCAAGGCAACAATATTAAGGTATTACTTTACAAAAAAATGATAATATATACTTTGAAAACGATCAAATTCCAATGTATAATCGCAGAATTTATTTTTTCGTATTTTGCAACATTTTTAGGACTTTGAAATTAACAATAAACCTTACAAATTTCTTTCTAAAATTTGAGAAAAAATCGTTCGCGTGCGTAAGAAATCGAAAAATATCGTCATTTTTTTTTCTCGGGGTTTTAAGGGGTTATGCCTAGTCAGCAGACTGAAAAAAATATGATGTTTGGGAATTTTTTTTGAAAAATGTAATAATTTTTTTTTATAAATAAATTTTTATTCAAAAGTACAAATATTAAGGATGTTGTTATATATTTTTTAAATGCAATATTAAAAAATGTTAAAGTTATAATTATTCTTCCGGATAGTGTTTTTTAAAAAACGCTAAGCGATGAGCAGTGCTATTCGAAGCTGATTCATCTGATATCAAAAATTCGATAAACTGTAGTTAATGTGTGAAATTGTCCAGTAGATGAACGAAGGATTAAAAAAAAAATTGTTTTGACACAAAATGGCAGCTATTTGACACTAAGATATTCTTTTTCGATTTAAAAATTGCTCATTTTTTATTAAGCAAAAAAAATGTATTAATTAAAAAACAAAATCCTTCGTTCATCTACTAGGTTTTTATATGTAGAAGAAGCCTGTAAAATTTCGAGCAAATCGGTGTAACGGTTTTCAAAATATCTTGCTCACCGACTTTGAAAGAGTGATTTCAAGAAGGAGTGTTTAAAATTTGTGTTTATTAAGTTTACGTTTAAATAAAATGCAGATTTTTTTAATTTACATGGAATTATCTTCCGGGTCCATATAATTTTAGTTTATTTAAATCTTCATTCATTGGCTTGATATAGCTTTCAAAACATCATAGCTGAAGTTTATAGTCGTGTTTAAACGAAGTTATACATTCTAGCGCTTCTTGAATCATATATTTATAACTCCGTCAATTTTTGCATCCAATTAATTTTTAGAAAATATTTTCAATATGATATATTTAAAGAAAAACATAAAAATTGGATTTTTTTACTTTTTACGATTAGCCATAATCCCTTAACTGCTCTAATCTTATTCGAACTAATTGCAGTTGAAAAGATCGAGATATACGAGAAAAAGAATAAACGTATGCTGTGTGTAAATATAATGTATATCGCGAGATCAGTCGGCTTTTCATATTGTACTTGGCATCGCGACGCCATCGCGTCGCTTAATAACGGCGAACACGATACCTCCATTACGGCGTCGATGTCGCAGTTTACAAATCGAGATGTCTAGATCCGGAAGGAGATGACGTCGAGAGATGATCTCCGATTGTTGGTGAAAAAAAATCTAGTAAACATGTAAACGTGAAAATGCGACAGAAGATCCCGATAGAAACTCCCGTGCATGAATAAGAGCATGTAATAAAAGAGGAATCTCTCTAAGCGAATGCAAAATTGCAACATTGCTCTCGTTTAAAAGACCAATACGTCTCTCGTGTTTTTTTTTTCTTCTTTTTTTGTAGCGAATGATCCGAGAAACGCGATTTACGCGATAATATTGCGCGCTGTCAGGTATTATTCCGGATTTAAAAAACGATGACACGCTAATTACGCGGTTCTCGCGCGAAATGGATAGATTTATTTCCGCCATTTTTACGTACAAGGTGTTCGCGATTCGTCGAGCCGTCTTCGAGCACGCGAATTCTTTAATAAATCCGAAATCAGACTTGCTAATCATTCCTTTGTACTTTTTTCTTAGCTTCCCGAATCAAGGATCTAAAAATTAAAGTCTATTCTAAGGATTAAAATCCATTTCAAAATTCCTTTATTTATGGAAACTTTTGTAAATCTTAATTCTCGAGAGATCTTTCATGAATGTGGAAAATGAAATTGAAAATTGTATCGAAATTTGCAAAAGAGAGATCCATAAACGAACCGTGATTCCGGCACACCCTGTAATCTGTGGATTAACCGGGAATCGCGCGGGATAAAAGTGATAGGTAAAGCGCGGAGGTTTGTTAACCCAAAGCTCCCCATTTTCAATGCGTATCAAAGTGGGTTGAGGAGCAGGGAAAAAAAAGAGCGAGATGCACTTTCGATCAAACATAATGGAAAATTAAAAATCGAGCGTATCATTAAGCGTTTCTGATCACCTTTATATTGATTATTTATAATACACTTGGAATATTTTGATGTACATAAATTAACCGTCTGCGACTACATCGGATTAAAAATTCACGACGCCAAAACTGCGACCTCTGAAAAATTCAACAAGTTGCAAGTTCACGGACATCTCTCTTTAGAAACCCGTGTCTTTTATTTTTGAAATTTTCGAGCTACTTTTGTTAATAATTAAATCATACGTATATATAATAGTTGCATAATAATAGTAACATAATCCACTAATTTTTTCTCGGCTTAGCGGACTTCAGATTTCATCTCGATTTTTCTCCAGAACGCTTAAATTTTTTCACACCTCTCACCGCGCTTTATCGCGTACTCGAATCTTTTAACTCGGCAAATTTTAGAAGATATTAATCTCTTTCGAGCTCCTTCAACTCTTTGGATTTTCATCCGCTCGAATGAATAATTGAAAGGAAAAGAAAAGGAATCTATTTCGGATTCTGAAAGTAATTTACCGAGATTAAGACGAATAGAATTCTTTAATTAAAATGGACGGATCTCACAAAGATACCGGCCTCCATTCATTAAGGATTCTTCCGGGAACCCCCGAAAATGGCCATACAAAGTCGACTAACCGGCCGACGGTCGAATTCGAATACGAATTTTATTCCCGCTCGTGGAGAGAGAACAATGGCTTCATTTCGAGCGAGTTTCACGTCATGCGGAAAGAGACGCGGAATGATCGATCAATCCGGGAATGACCCCATCATCCCGATTACTTTTTAGTCCTTTTTCCCTCGTTCTTTACCGTCGCCAATGTTCCGTAACCTTCCGCTCTGTTACTTTAATAAAACGAAATGGGGAGGGGGTAATTTAAATATGACAGCTGACACAGTGAGGGATTAAAACAATGCTACATTGTGCTCCTAAGTTATCTGAATTTTATGGAAAAAGAAATTAGAGATCCAATATACGTGTCGATTTATGTCCGTCACACAAATCTTTAATACATTTTTTATTTATTTCTCAATTGTCGATTTTTTGATTACTTATTTTTAATTATTGGATTATTGTAAGATGTATGTATTACTTATAGCTATAGATAATTAAATTTTAGGTCATTAGATAAACTCAAATAAATTATATGTATATATGTTATATATATGTTATAATATTATGTTATATATATGTTTTACACATGTTATAGGTACATGATATATATATGTTATAATATTATATAAATTATATCTATATAATTAATATTATGATTAACATGGTTACACTCGATTATGATACTCTGTTAATTTTCGTGGGTTGCTTTAGTCCCCGGATTTCGCGATTACACACATATATATATATATATATATATATATATATATATATATATATAAATGTTAATATATCGAGTAATGTGCAGGATGAGATTCATTTCCGCTCGCTCGGCTAATTGGACTTAATGCAGGCGCTAAGTTAAATTTGATGGACGGACGGACGGACGGATAAACGGACGGACGGACGGACGGACAGACGGATGAGTACTTTTAACGGTGCGCGTTCGCAATCAGAGCTTATTAAATTCAGCCGGATTCGAATATCGTGTGACGGAGGATAAATAGGATTTTTCCTTGCTTTATTGCGGGCCCGACCGCGGAAATGAAGTGCCCTGACGTGACTTGGCTCGCCGATCGATCTAAACGTCATCGTCTCGTGTGTGCATGAGAGCGCCCGCACCACGACACGTGCGGAAAGCATTCGATGTTGCGGGGGATGTGCCGCAACGAATATCTATGCGCCGTATTATTTACGGCCGCCCGGCAAAGTTGCGCTGTCGATCGGATTTCTTTTTTTTTTGAAAAATTCAAAAACGCGACGACAAAAACTGTCGTGTAAAATTAGAATCGGGATCGTGCGAGGCTTTTAACCCTCCCGTTGTTAGTCTTATTAATTAAATTTTATATTTTAATTTATGCAAAAATCGAATTTTCCCAGCGAAGAGTCTACGTTTTAAATTTTCTCTCTCATATTATTATTAAATTTCTGTTTTTATTATAATTAGATATCGCAATTTCAATCTTCAAATTTAATCTCTATAATAATAACTTGTGTTTTTATATATTTTCAATATCGCTTTTAATCAATTTATTAATTATCCTTTGTTTTTTCTCCTCTATCGCTAAACGATTTTTGATTCTCGTAATCGGGACCCGATCTTTCGAATCCGAGAATTCGAATCCGTGCAATTCCTCAGAGCGGATCCCTGGAAAAGATCGGAAGAAATCGGTGTAAAAAAAGGAGAAAAAATCTCGTGCGACATAAATCTCCCGTCTAAATGGCGTTAATCCATCACCGGGAAATTTATTTGAGCGCGAAATGAAATTTTCGGTGCAAGAAGTAGTATGAACATTTAAGGCCAATAAATAGGCGGCTGCAGAGTGAAGGCAAGTGGCCGTGCTCGGCACATCGATCTATCGTATAATGCAGAATACACGTGCTCTTCTGGTGTGAGGAATCTATAAAGGCAGAAATAAAATATGTAGCGCGGAACAGAAATATAAAAATAAAAGAAAAGAAATTTCTTTTCTTTCTCTCTTTTGTGTTTTCTTTTTTAATAAATAAATAAAATGATAAAGTTTAGCGAAAAAATGGGATGTAATAAAAATTTATTTAAAATGTAATGAAATTTGTTACGTTTTCATCGCACTGAAAATATTGACAAAAATGAAAAAATGATCAAATGTATATTATATGTTAAATGAAATTCAACGGAACTCTAATAATTTATTCATTAATTTGTTTGTATAATGTTCATGTGTAATAAGCAATATTTTTAAGGATATTCCGCGATAAAAAATAATAATTTAAAAAATAATTTAGTAAAAACAACAAAATAATAATAATTAATTTAATTAAATAATTTTGACTTTTCTGAAGAAAAATTTGCCTTGAATAATTGTTGCACTAATTAAAAAAAAAAAATCTTTAAAAAAAAATCTGACGTCCAGGATTGTAGTAATCAAAAACAAATAATGCTTACTAAATTAATCGGAAATAATATTGAAAATATATAAATGTAGAAATTTAAATAAAGCGCATGAAAATTCTCTCGTCAGTCTCGAATTGTCAAATTCGGCAGTCGGCCCGCGAAAATAATTGTTCCTGCAGGATCGCGAATTTAGTTTTCCGAGATCCCAGGGATATTCCTAAGTGGATTAAGGCGAGCTTAAGTCTGGCTCAAGAAGTTGTCCGACTAAAGTGATGGTGCGTTTAATAACGAGGTTGCGGTTTGCGGTCTGCTTAATTGTTGCAGAACAGAATTTCGACAAAGTCCGTTCGAGAGAATGCATCGTAAGTAAGTTGCATGTATTGACAGCAAGTCAAGAACAATGCCAATTCGAAGGAGTTTTCGACACAGGATGAATGACAGGAGAGTATCTTATTAAATTCTGAAACCATTCCTTACGAAATTGATTCTTTAGTGAAAGAAGCACTTCGTGTTTCTAATTAAGATAATTATGATTAAAGTCTGTTCAATCGTTAATTATATTTCATTAATTTTATATTTTTATTAATTTATATTTCTTATTTTATATTTTTATTTTTATATCTTTATTAATTTAAATTTTTTATTTTATATTTTTTATTTTTATATTTTTATATTTTTTATAGTTACTAATAAACATCTAAAATGAGATTCATAATTAAATTAGTAGAGAGATAATTTATATTTCTTATTTATATTTCTATATTTTATTTTATTTATATTTATATTTCTTATTTTTATTTTTATATTTTCATTAATTTATTTTTTTATTTTATATTTTTTGTTTTTATATATATATTTTTTATAGTTACTAAAAAACATCTAAAATGGTTCACAGTTAAATTAGTAGAGAGAAAAGAGAGTGATAGAGGGTATTTCGTCGCTGTTTCCGTCTCGTTTAAGGAGAAAGAGAAACACGTTTTACGGAAGTAGGGTGTAAGACTCTGACATCGGAAATAAACTGTGCAAATCGAACAAAATCTCGGGCGCAATATCAAGATACATACCGTATTTCTTTTTATATTCGTGTACGTGGATATCCTTTATTTCGTAGAGAAGGATATCTACTCCCTTTCGGGAGTGGATGTCCTCTCGCGAGTCCTTTAATCGCACGCGCACAAAAAATTCGCCCGAGGGCGCGATAAATCGTTCTTTATCACAATTCTCGGAATACCATATCGCTTTTCACTAATGCTCTTGCACGAGTCGTTTTTTTTAGCGGGAGATTTATTCGTGCTTAATTTATCGCGAAGCTCCTGATTAGTATCCTCCTCTCATGACGCCAACATGTGCATTATTACGAATCGATATTCAATTTGAAGAGAAAAATTAGATCCCCTCGCCTTTTTCTCGTTGATAAAAATCCATTAATCTATCCATTTGTTTGTTTTTATTCTAGAACTATTATAGAATAAAAAGACAAATGGATGAAGAATAATTTTTACATAGAAAAATAATATATATTACAGAGGTAATCACAATATATATTTAGATTGAATTTTGAAAAGGCTGTACTAATTCCAGATATATATATTCTGTCAAGAATAATCTGCATCGATTTATTTATGAAAATAATAAGCAAGGCTGAGAGAGGATTTAAACTGATAAAATTTATGAATTGAAAATCGGAGAACATCGCGGAAATAACGTCAATGTAAATTCGATACTTGAACAGATAGTCGTATTAATTCCAGGGGAACGCGGATATCAGTATGCAAAACGCGCCGTTCGAGATATGAGAGTGCGAATAGGATTTTTTTCACAATTCCCTCTTTAATATTCAACCTCCTTTGCATCTTTAAATTCCCTGGCTACAATCAAAATAAGGCAATAGAAATAACAATTGTTCGAAAAGTACACCGAAAAAGAGAACGTTGTTAACTTGACCGTTCCACTAAATTATTATTTTTTTAATCGAAATATTTAAATACTTGAGTTAAATAGATGATCGTGATTTAATATTAACAATATTTGATATTAGATTTAATAGATACTATTTAATTTAAATACTTGAATATTTCAACTAAAAGAATAATAATTTAGTTAAACGGTTTAATCAAGTTAATAACGTTTTTTTTTCTCAGTGTAGATATATCTCAGAGAGAGAAATGTACGTCGAATTATTACAATTATAAATTTGATACATGTATCAGTATGACAAAGCATATATTTCAATAAGCGTCATTTAATTTCCGCGATTAAAGGAGATTTATTTCATTATTATACATAAATGCAATTAAAAATTTTACATTTAATAATATATATCTTCATAAATGCAATTTAATTTTTAATTAGCCGCGTTTCTTAAAACATTTATATTATTATTTCATCTCGTACATTCCCAATTAAAAGGAGTCATTTCAGCTAAAAATAAAGATTGTTAATTATCTATTTTAATTTCGAAATAAAATTAGCTAAATTTAAAAAATTGATTAGGAAGGAATTTAAAATTCATGAATTGAACTTGTAAAAAAAGGCTATAATTAAAAAAATTTTAAATAAAAATAAAATTAGCTGAATTAAGAAAATTGATCAGGAAGGAATTTAAAATTCACTGCAAAAATAAGAATAATTTATATCCTATATATTTTACGTATCTTTTTACTTTTGTGTCTTTCTTCGTTTAAATCTAATTATTTACTGTCTAAATAAGTTGTTTTAATAACTGTTTAACAATTTATTTTGCTCGTAGGCGTTTCTCTTCTTTACGGAAACTTAACAAACGTACTCCGTACAATTCCATTTTCCACCCAACTTCCTTTCTATAGCGAAAACGCCTTAATGAAACCTGTCACCTGTGTCCGTCGCTGGAATTTACCGTTGCCGAGTTCTCGCGGAGAGCCGGCCCATCCGGTTGCGTCCGGGAAATATACCTTTAACGACGCGTATAACGCTTCGCGACGCGAGAACGTCTCGGCGTTTCAGGTAACACAATATCTCTAATGGTTTTCAGAAATTGATTCCTAGAAAGAGGAGAACTGGAGCGAGAGAGCTCACTAAAAATCCCCTCGTCGAAAGGACGCAGAGAGCGTTTATTCCGTCTTTATTTATTGATAAGACGTTGCATCTCGCGCATGAGTGCAAACGCGCATCCCTAATAATACGAGAGACGAGGGCTGACACAACGAAGGACGAACAGGTGTCCCGATGTGGGCAGGCCGTGCAGGCGACGCATGCCCGTCGCGACGTCCCCGTCGAGGGGGTGCGAGAGGGGGCGAAACCGGTTTAGGGGTGGTTGGCGAGCGAGATAAAAGCCAGTGGGCCAGTAGTTCGCGGCGAGGCAACCCCCGTGGATCGCGTCGCTCGCATCCGTGGCTCGATTCCGCCAATTTATCGTCTTGCCCCTCTCCCCTCGCCCCCCCGCAACTTTCTCCACCCCCCTCGCGCGCCCTGGTGCGGATTTCGGCGGATTTGAAGAAAAAAAAAAAAAATTGCCGCGCGCGGCGAAGGTCCTTCCCGACGAGTGTCTCTACGCGATGGGGAAGAGTTCGCCGAGCAATGTGCGTGCCGAGTCACCACCATCACCACCATCACCACCGCGGTTTAACGAAGTATTCGATAAATTACGGCACCCCGAGTTTCCGCCAACTTTCGCTTTGCCCAATTTGAATTCCTGAAACCGCGGAGATCCCCCGAATTCTTCAACTTCCTCCCCCTTGAATTCATCCCTCCCCCGTCGATTTGAGCCGTTTTATTAAAAATTGTGTCCCTGGAGATTTGGAAAAATTCTCCGAAAAGTTTCAACTTTCTCATTAAACTCGTTTCCTCCGAATTGGATTCTTGAAATTACGGAAATTTTAGGGTCTCGAAATTGTGGACCTTTGAACATTTTCGAAAATTGTTGCATTTTTCTTTTAGCAATTCTACAATAATTATTTCTTTTGATTAAATCAATTTCTCCTTTTCGAATTCTTAAAATTGGAAAGAATCCAAGGTGTTCTGAATTTTTGATTTTTTAAATTTATTTTTTTGTAAATAAATTTATTTTATGAATAAATATAATTAAAATATATTAATTTTTATGATTTAATTTGTGCTCCTGGAAAAAATTATCTAAAAAGTTCGCTCTCTCCTCGAGAATTTACTTTGTAATTAACTTAATGCTTAAAATTTTCCCTTTAAAATTCTATTTTATTTTATTTTATCTACTTATTTCATTTTCCTAAATTCCTGCTTAAAATTCTTCTTAAAAATTTCTTTTTAAAATTCTATTTTATTTTGTTTTACCTACTTATTTTATTTGCCCAAATTCCTGCATTTTTCAAAGGTCATTGAAATTTTTCTATTTACTGAGTCCTCTCTCATAAGCGGATATCAGAAGAACGGCCGAATCGATTTTTAATTCCCTAAAAAACGCTCGTTAAAATTAATAACTCCAATTCTCGAAACCATGTTGAAACTTGACAACTTTTCGCGCGATTTTTACATCCTTAGACCATTTAAAAACTTTTCTCCTTTCAGTATTTTATCTTGGCTCGCTACATCCAAAGGTTCCTCGTAAATCGATTCAAGGCACGTGAAATTTTCAAGATCCGAGATTTCCCGAGATTTCATCCGATTGAATCTACGACAGATTAATTGCGACAAAAGCGCTCTCGCAATGATATTTGCGATCGCTTGTACGAGCAAACCGCTCATCGATGTAACCTGTTGAGCGTATAATCCTCTCTCTCCATCGATATATCGAATCAGTCGCATCGATGCAATTGAATCGTTATCGATGTCCACGCGAATGGCCTCTTCCATCTTAAGGAGGAAAATCCGTCTTCTTCCGGAAAATGTCTTTGCTATCTCGTCAAGAAGGACCAGTCGACAATCTAGAATAAAAACACACAATATTGTAATCTAAGAGCGATTTTTGGATCGACAAATTATCACTCTGGAATTCTCGCAACGATCCCTTTGAGTCTCTCTCGAGCGCTTACGTTCACGTTTTTAGACCCCCGGAGCTTTGTCTTTATTAAATCCTTGGACTCTGCGCTCAAATTCTTCAGGTCCTCCTAAGAAATTTTAATTTATTAGATTCTCGACTTCGTAAACTCGTCGACGTCGAATTCTTGTTGCGACGTTGAATTCCTATTTTCTAAATTCCTAGCGCTTGAGAATTTTCCGGCCATCGATATTCCGCTCGCTCTCTTTCGCTCCTCAAATTTCCCCGAAATACTTCATCTCGAAATATATATCACGTTGGTCAGCTTGATCCTCTTCCAGCTCTCTCTCCGTTGCATGACGTCTCTTAATTAAGTTACTTAATTACATCGCTCGTGTACCCCTTGTAAATCCTCGATCCTTCCTCCTCATAAATCTTCAAAACCCTCTGATATATTTCCAACGATTAATCTTTAGAAATATATATATATATATAAATATATATATATAAAATATCATATATCATCCCCCATGATTGATTCTGAACCTCTATGGATCTCGACGTCCCTTGGACGATTCTGAATAGTGCGCTTTCAGATGCGACGTCCTCGCGTGCCGTGAAAGTGCGCGTTTTTGTGGGTGAAGTTCTGACTGAGCGATGACGAGGTCAACGGCCACCGTGCGAATCGTCCTGGCGGATACCTACGATCCGCTGATCCTGTGGAATGTCAGTTCCGCGAACGGCAGCGAGACCGACCTGGCGACGACGAGCGCGAGTCCCGCCGGAAGCCGGAGCAACGAGGACGGACTTAACAATTGGTGGGCGATGCTGGCGCTGGTCCTGGTTCTCGGTACGGCCGCGGGAAATATCCTGGTGTGCCTGGCGATCGCCTGGGAGCGACGCCTGCAAAACGTCACTAATTATTTCCTGATGAGCCTGGCCATCACGGATCTCATGGTCGCTATCCTGGTGATGCCGCTGGGCATCCTCACGCTCGTTCGAGGTGAGTCTGCGGGCTCCCGGATTGACGTAAAGGCGAATCCTTATGAAACGAATATTCAACATTTAGTACTCGATATTTCGCATATATTTAATTTCGCAGCAAACACCGAGTAACATTTATATAACTGTTAGTTGTAATTTCCCATTCAACAATATAACTGTTACATAACAGTTATATAACTGTTGCATAACGGTTATATAACTGTTATTTGGTGTTTGCTGGGCAATCTTGAGGTACATTTAAACATGTAGGCAATAATACAATTTATTATATCCACGTGTCGCAAAATTGTGAATAATAGAGCCGTTTAAAAATGTCCTAATGCTTCGAATAAAGTGTCGCGCGCTTGTTTCCAGCAATTTAATGGACGACGAGTGGCGCGTAAGGGAGCTATTTATCACTAGCATTGCACGGTATTTGGCGAATCTGGAATGGGGGAGAACCTGCAATTTTCCGACATCTCGAATAAAATGCGCGGTTTAGAGGGAGAGGGAGAGAGAGGATCGTGGGAAATGAAAAACCCTGGCCAAGGTGGAAGGGTTGCTATTTGCAGAGCGGGTCGCTATTTCGAGCAATTTGGGAGAGGAGAGATGTGAAAGAGCGCTATTTACCGAGTGCGTATTTAGAGTAAAACCGGAAAGAGAGAGTTTAATGTTTTCCAGTGTTCCGAAATAAAGCGTCGCTCTCTCCTATTTCGAGCTATTCGAGGGTTAAAGGAAGCGAGGATGTGCGAGGACGCGCGAAGGTGCTATATTTATTATAGAATGCATGGATATCGATGAAGAACGAGAGGGTTAAATAGTTTCCGAAAGGAAACTAATTTTTATATCATTTTATATAATTATTAGTAATTTCCCACTTAACCATATAACTGTTACATGTTATACAACTGTTATATAACTGTTACATAACATGTAACAGTTATATTGCTGAGTGGGAAATTAGAATTAACAATTATATAACTAATATAATAATATATAATAATATAACTATAACTAATAACATGTAACAGTAGCAGCAATATAATTATAACTAATAACATATCAGCAATATAATTATAACTAATATGTAATAGTTATATTGCTGAGTGGGAAATTAGAACTAACAGTTATATAATGTTGGTTGTAATTTCCTACTTAGCAGTATACCTGTTACATGTTACGTAACCATTATATAACAGTTATATAACATGTAACAGTTATATTGTGGAAAATTACAACTAACAATTATATTAAATGTTTCTTGATGTTTGCTGGAGTAAGGACACCATTTAACGTCGACACGCAAAATGCCGTGCCCATATTTACCGAAGTGTACAATTAAAAAGAGAGAGAACGAAGAGAGGTTGAAACGCGCGTTTCACAAACAGAAACCGCCCGCTTATTTCCAGCGATTCCGGGAGGAGGCAAATGTCATAAGGACACTCGCTGGCGTTCCTCTCTTTCCGGTATTATTTACACGCGAGATACTCGCCTGTCTACGTCGAATGAATCACCGGGAAACGAGAATCCTGGAGGAGGATCTATTCAGAGCACCTCCGATTCGACGTGGGGTTATCGCCGGCCTGTCCGAAACAAAGGGGTTAAAAATTTGCCCCCCCGCCGAGTGAAGCATTAGCTGTCCAGGGGATGAATCGAGGAAGACTCGCCACCGACTCGCTATTCGCGGACCGCCGCTATTTCGAGGCTTGTTTGGGGAAGAGACGAGGCTTCGAGGAGAATGGGGTGGACGCGGAATTGGCGTATAAGGGCGCATAAATCGCGCTATTTATCGCCGGGGCGCATTACCCGGGTAACATTCGCGCACATCGGTCTTCTCGCGTGATAGGTGGCTCGTGCTTTTACGAGTCCGTAAGCTCCGGAGGGGCTCAAGGCTCCTTGTCGGCCGAAACGAGCGCGCTTATGCATAATGGATCACCTCCAGTGATGCTTACTCGATACTCGCGTCGCGACCCCCCGCGCAACCCCTCCCCCTCCCCCGTGCAACTGACATCATCCGGGTGTGCCACCCGTTTTGTTGTACAAACAACAAAAACGAGGAGCACGAGAATGCTAAGCGACAGAGATAGAATCGAGACCGAGAAAAGAACCCTCGGGAAATTAATGGCGATTCAAGGTAGGCGGTCTCTCGAGATAGTGGGCTTATCATGCAGTTGATTTTGCTTCTTCTTTTTTTTTTTTTGCAAACACCGAAGCGCGATATCGAATAGTTCGATGAGGAAATTATTTTGGAAATTTTTGTAAATTTAAATAAACTATATAAATACAAGGTGAAAATTTTCGAGATGTTTTTCGACAAAATACTTGATATCGATCTTTGGAAAAGATAAGAAAGAAAATTAACTGCACGATGAGCCTATTATCTTGAGAGATTACTCTTCCTTAATTGATATTAATTTCCCGAGGGTTCCTTAGTTTATTCAAATTGTTATTTATTTATTAGTTTATTTATATAGTTTATTTAAATTATTATAAATTTATTAGTTACTTTATATTACAGTTTATTTTAATGTTTTAATGATAATTTTTTAATGATAATTTTAATAATTTAAATGTATTTTCTTTTGCAGGAGGACTTTAATATATTTTAAGAGTTAATTAATGACCCTTTTGATAATTAATAATAATCTCTCATAAATCTGCGATTTATTATTTCGTAGGTAATAATAATTAATTCCCATTACATTATTCATGGCTTTCATTAATTTGTTATTAGGAGCACTATTTATTCCCGTCACCGTCACCGGAGAGAGTAATGATGTTAAATAATAAAAAAGCTTTGCAAAAACGAATCAAGTGTATTCAAGAAATGAAACATCGAGAAAGTTTTCATACGAATCTGATCTGAGGATCTGATCTCTATCAAATTAAATTATCTTTAATCGCTAATCGCGCGCGATTCCTCGACAGGACTTTGCGTGGTTGCGTTAAACGATGACTTAATTTAGCCGAGACGAGGTCAAATATAGACCCGGCTGTCCGCAAAAGAAGGAGCGAGTACGGGGTCGGAGGAAATAAACCGAGGATCGATTGCGCAGAAATAACCCACCACGGGATTTGCCGCTTTAATTTCTCCCCAAGGAGAGAAGGATTCGTGTCCTGCGCCGGTCAATCGCGACCGCTATTTCCACCCCTGTTGCAGCTTTAAAGATAGTTTCGGTGTCCCTGGTAATGTGAATTTGTATCGGGTCGTGGCGGTTTTCTTGTTTGCCCTCGAGCAATTTCCGAAAAATACGTCCTTTCTCTTTCTCGGGTTTTCCGTCTGAGGAAAAAAAAAATTCGATAATAAAAAATTACCAAGAGTTCAAGGCTCTCGAGAAATATGAGGAGGATAAACTCGAGGCAGTCTCTTACGAGAACCGAAGAAAATGTTGTAATTCGCGTATTAACTGAGATATAAGCTATGATAAACCGAGAGCTTCTGGCATAAAAATTTGAAGAGAGTGAAAAATATTGCGACAAGCCGGAGGATTCATTAGCGAGGAAATAGGATTTCGGGATGGCGGGATTTCTAAATGAGCAGAGCTAAGGACGAAGGATCAAATGGAATATTCATCAGGCATAATTATACGTTCGCCGGGAAACTTTTGGGAAAGATAGACCAATTAAGCGTGGCTAACGCAATAATTTTAAAAGGCGGTGTATCATTCGATCGCGAGGGATCGAAATGCAAAGCGAAGGGAAGGAGATCCTGTGAAAAAAAAATCTCGACACTCGCGAAAGATATTCCCAAGATTTATAGATAAATAATAATATTTTTTAAGGGACTCGAGAATTTTCGAAAATTAAATATACAAAAAGGGGAATCGGAAAATTCTGGGAAAATTTTGATTAATTACTTCATTACTGAGATTACATATAATTGAATGTTACGTGATATAAATGCAAATAAAGGAGATAAATAAATCGAGGAGCACGTAAAATGAAAATTCCAATTAATTATATAATTATTTGGATATAAATAAAGAACTTAATATGAAGAGAAACTCTTTTCCTTCAATTTATGTTCCTCGATAAATGTAAATAAATCAAATTTAATCGCCAAAAAATAATAAGCAGGAGCATTAATTAATTGTTCAAAATCTACGAGGGGAGAAACTTGAAAATGGAGAACAAGACTCGATTTCCAGTGACAGGACTTGTGTGTGTGTGTGTGTGTGTGTGTGTGTGTGTGTGTGTGTGTGTGTGTGTACTCTAGTTAAACTAGTCCTGGAGATGGGAACACGTCGAGGGAATGCGCTTAATTGTAAGTGTCCTGTCGACAGGACATGTCCGTCACTTTCGTCGAGGTTCAATCGACGTGCTCAACTAACGTACGTGACAGGACCCGAACGTGTCCTTAACTTTATTATGCACGCGGGGAGAGGCCCTTTAATAAAGCTACACACACGATACTAGGAACATCGATGCGATGGCCAATATCGATAATGGCGACCAGTATCGATAATAGGGAAAGAGAGACCGCTTTCTCCCTCGGAGAAAGAGATAGGCTAGCTTTAATTAACTACTTATGTCGGCGAGTTAATCGAGAATAAACAGACTATCGATTTTCGAATCTCTCGACTTTTTGCCAATAAACTTGCGTTAAAGGCCGATATTACGCGATAATTCGCATAATTAATTACACGTAATACCTATAATTAATGTAATAACATGTATCGATCGCTCGCGATTAATTGAAAGCTTGTCCTCTCCCGCCCCCTCTTTTACTCTCTCCATTGAAGCCGCATTTGCATTCTTTCTGCTGAAAAGATGTGCGTATAATTATAATGTTACGGCGGAAATAAGTAAAGGCAGGATGACTATCACAATATTGACATTCCATTAATTTTCCCTAATTATTATATTTACATAAAACGTGAATTTTCATAATATTTTATTTTTACGAGAGACAATTAACCGGAATAAAATGATGTAAAGAAAAAGGAATGGTATTTTTAATGAATGCCTGGCCATTGCGTGCCACTTTACTACTTCATCTACATGTCTGATCAAGTAGGA